GTGCTGCTTGCGGAGCGCCTGTCTGAGAAAACAGAATCGGCACCGTGAAGCACAATGAGTCATTGTGCTGGGACCCCAGCGCAGGCTGCTGGTCCCATGTGGAATGCTGGGAGATCCCGCTGAGTTTCTCATTACAACACCAGACTCCTGAGCAGGTGTCTAGCTTGTATGTACTTGGTAGCATTACATGCAACTTGGCCTTACACTGAGTGTGGAAGGAAAGTATAGGGTTTACACTAAATGAAAGAGCAAGTAACTTCCTGTTCAAATGTTTCATCTGTTTATCTGTGTTTCTGTCCATCTGTCCTTTTTAATATCTAGCTTTTTAGTGGTGGTTGTTTTCTAGCTGCCCAAAGGCAGTTTCGTGACGTTTCCATTGTGACCCCTGGAACATCCATCCCAGGTTCACCCACAGCATTGACGTTGCACTTCTGGCTTTCAGCTGAAACATTATTTCTTTTCCTCTTACTTAAGTTTTATTTTTGTCCATCCCTCACCGCAACTGAAAGGCAGGAAATCGCTCCTAAGGAAATTTGAGGTAAAATGACTGTATAACTTCCATTCCTGTTAGTAGCATTGACTGTGATGGCCTCGTCCAAAAGAACCCACTCGGCCCAAACTAGAGACTCAGCGATTCTTCCGCTTTCAGTCCATTTTATGAATGAATGTGAGGCACCGGGAGACAAAACCCATTTTGTATTTGAGTTCCAGGGGTCCTGCATGTGGTCCTGTTTGAAGTTCATTCTTCCCATTACAGCGACTGTAGAACACCATAACGAGCAGCTACTGTATAGGATCCGTGCTATGAAGTGTGAAATGCATTTTAGTGGTGTTTTTAGGAACAAATGTGGTCAGTACAATGGGAATACAATATAATTTATGCTATTTAGAATTTAGATGTTATCTGGTGAGTGGTCCAAAGTGGAGGAAGTAACAACAATAGGTGATATGAGACCCTAAGCTTTGTGATGATGTTAGTGCACTGAGCCTCCGTCTGCTTTCATACGGCCTTCCTCAGCCAATCGCTTTTTACATCCCCTTTGGTTCGTCAGCTGCTGTGGTCAACGTGGCTCGACAGGTTTCGCTGATTTTCATTTCTCAGTTCCATCAGCCAGATGTGTTTCTCAAGTAAGACAAAGACAGATCCCTAGCTACCATTGCTGCATGCTGGATGGTGACGCACGTTGGACTTTTGAGGACGTTTTAAGCCCCAGGGCCCATTAACAAAGGGGTTTATTGAAATCTTGTTGCCTTGCAGAACAGATGATGATAGATTTCCACTATTCCCTGGTTTAACAACCTGTCTTTCCTGTAATAATTAAGCCATTATTTTTAGCTTCTGGATTTTGTGAATTTTCAACTGCGTGAGGTCCTCGGGCTCTTCGTCCTAATACAGTATGTACCTAAGAGGTAGTTCACAATAAATGATAATATAAATGAATTTAAAATTAGTGTCATATAAAGAAAAAGGAAACTGAGTTGCATAGAGGAGCTATACTGTTTTTTTTTTTAATGGATCTTCATTGGTCCTATATTGTGGCAGCCGTAGGTGTGTTGATGTGGAGTAGAAAAGTCATCTATAACTGCACAAAAACACAGGAGTCTGGCTCTTTTTTAGGAACTGTTTATTGGTTGGTGAGGACATACTTCCTCCGGCTGCCCTGTTTGCATTTGCTACACCCCCCGCTGGCTACGATGCCACCTTTGGCTAGCTTATAGTGTGTCCACTGCTGGCACGACAAGCCACAGTGAGGGACATCTAGCCGGGGAAGAGCGTCAGTCACAGCCCAGAGCAGGCCTGGCTGGGGCCTGGGGGCAGGCTGAGATTGAACTGTAGCTTTTAGGTGCTATTTGGCAGCAAAAGGGGCAAAAATAGTGACAGAAGAGGGAGACGCAAAGCAGGAGAGAGAGAGAGAGCAGGAGGGGAGAGAGAGAGAGAGAGAGAGAGAGAGAGAGTGAAATTATAGGCTGAGCTGGACCAGAAGCTGCTTCTTCAGTACACCACATGACTTCATGGTCGTGCTGTTTCACAAGCAGCGACGACTTAGATGCTAAACAAGCAGGACGCTGAGCAGAGAGAAAGAAGCACTTTTAGGAAGTGAATGTGTCACTGCGTTCGGGGGACAGGATGTCTTCACAGCAGAGATACAGGAGCCCTTCTGCCAACAGTCTGGGGCAAGACAAAGGTCCCTTGGATGAAGGATATTATCAGATGATGCTGAAGGCGACAGATGAGAGGAAAGGTACCCTTGCAATATAGTTTTATGGTTCATTAAAGCTAGAAAAGTGGCTGACTTTACAGCTGTGGCTATAGTGATTTTATGTGATTAAGTTCTATCTGGAAAAGTGACCGTCTATACGTATGTTGCTGTGCATATTACATCTTAATGTTTTTTTTAACCTAGTTTTTGTGTGAAAAGACTTTTTTCTCTATGTTCAAATTATTTATGCAACCATTCTGTTACCCCACACAGCTATTCATTGAGGCTAATAGAGGGGGAAGCCCTTAAACATGACTCTAATGTTCCCTATTGGCTACCTGCTGTGCTGATGGAACGCAGCACAGCCAATCAAAACTTTGCATCATCAAGGCAGTAACATATGGATGAATTTAATACTGAATTGTATTGGTTTATTTGTAAACATGCACACAATGAGAAAGTATTTCAGTATATGTCTAAAACTGTGTCTAACTTTTAACCCTTTAAAAATAAATAAAAAAAATAGAATTGAAGAAATTGAACTGTTTCTTTTCTCTGTAAAAATGTCCTTATTTTCTGAATATAAGTTATTGCAAAAAGAAAACATAGTGCAGGAATCAGGGATTATCAACCTTACCTTGCATAACAAGTAAATGGTTGGAAATTGAAGGACGTGTAATGAAATCCAGTATGTGTGACCACTTTTGGTGTTATCTGCAGATGGTTACTCTGGGAGAGGGCCCCCGTTCTCCTGTGGTGTTCTGTTTTAAATTAGACTGGTACAGTAGTTAAAAAAGACCAGCGGCTCAGTTTTTACCATTGATTTATGTTGCTGGCTGGTGTTTCAAGTAGAGATGTTTGCTTTTGTGGTTTAAGTGGTCATTGCTGTATGCTGTGTAAATCAGATTTCTTTAGGGTGAAATTAAAATTTAAGCCATTGGAACTTTGATTTATTATTGTTTTATTGCTCAGCTATTTTTCTCACAAAGAATTCTATCTATTTATACAGCTGGATATTTTACTGGAGCATTTCTGGTTAAACACTATTGCCGAGTCTGAGGGGAGGAGGGGCATTGCCCTCTCAGATTTTCCTTGCGCCCACCCGAGAAGTATTCAGCCAATCACAAAAACCTTTTTTTATTGACATTCTGATTGGTCAGTTTGGGCATGTAAGGCATTATACTGTAAACTTATGCTTTTCCATGAATGAGAAAGCTGACCAATCGAAATCTCTGATTGCTCCCCTTCCCCCAATCATGCGAGCCTAATACCACATGCAGAGCCCCTCGCCCAGGCTGACCAGTGGTATGTTCAGTCTGTGCTCCTGATGGCGTATTAACTCTGCTGTATATATTGGCCTGGTTGTTTCCATATTTGTGTCCTTCTGCATGCCTGTGATGTCCTCCATGGTTATGAGATTGTCTGTAATTGTGATTGATGTAAGAAACTCATGCTGATGTTTGTCCCTAAGGCTAGTTAGTCCTAAAGGTGACATAGGCGGCCGCCTAGGGTACTAACTTCTGAGGGGGCTCAGCCTTGCCGGTCAATTCATTTTGCCTCAGCCAGGGGGCGCCAGCGTTGACGCTCGCCTGGGCACCCCATTGGCAAGCGCTAGTTTTGTTTGTCCCTCTCCTGTGGATCGTGTGAGTGCCCCATTTCGATGCTGGGGCACACTGTGAAAGCTGTTTCAGTTAAGTTACATACATTTTCTTCAATTTTGAGGATGTGGAGCTGTTAAATTGTCTTGGAGCATAAATATACTTATGGCTCCAGGATGATGCAGCCTTTATTCTCTTTGCTCACCCTTGATATAGTTCCTATTGGAAAAAAACAGCATAATTCCAAGATCATGTTGATCTTGAAAGCAAAATCATGCTTTGTGTCTAATGGGACAATTTATTCAATTTAGCTGCATCCTGGAAAATACTAATTAAATCACTTGAAATATTGATGAAATTTATCCCCATTATATGTGATTTCGTTATGGTGGCCTTGAGCAGGCATATGCAGTCTTCTGAGGCATGTGCTTGTATCTCTCTGGCTGACGAAACGTTTCAGACAACCTATTTTAATGTGGGTCTGAGAGGGCTCTCCAAGAATCAGCCACCAACTCGCACTTTGCACAAATGATAAAACACGAGTAAAGCAAGCGGTGCAGGGGTGACCCCTAAAACTCCTACAGTCCTGGGCTGGCACTGCAATGCGTGTGTGTGCATGCAATCGTGCGTGTGTGTGTTTGTGTTTGCACAGGTTGTGGGGTAACTGTGTGCTTCACTGAAATAGTTCACAGAAATACTACTATTTGGAGTTTTAACAGGTTTAGCTGGTTACTGGATCGTCGTGTGCTGTTGGTAAATCAGGGGCTGCTGAAGTGCCCCAGTGCCTTTGGCTGAGGCCACTACCTGCCATAACCATTGTGATGTAATTGCTTCATTGTTGTTGTAAGGGTGCATTTCACAAAGTGTGTTCAGGCAAGAATGCATAGCGTTTAGGATATGAAAGCTGATTTTAGTCTTTATTTTTTTTAATTTACCATTTTTATTTCTGCCCTAAATGGTCACAGGCATTACAACATCTGAGATGGTGATGATATTCATTCAGAGAGATTTTTACTTCAGTCCACAGCATCCATTAGTTTAATCTTTGCTCTGTTGCTTCATGTATGTCCTATTTAGCCAATTTGTCTGTCTGCATATAGATAATGTCCTTCTTCTTGGCTGTTCCGAAACTGAGCGCTGTCACAGAGGAGAATGCTGTATCTCTTGCTGACCATGCCATTCTTCCTTGTGTTTCCCACAGATGAACGAGACAGGGTGCAGAAGAAGACCTTCACAAAATGGGTCAACAAGCACTTGATGAAGGTAGAGTCGCATCGCCTTCCTCAGCTGATGCCACCCAGTTCAACATTAATGTTCAGTCTCTCTCGATTACCTGCACTATCCAACGGAGCTCATATCATCGCATGTCCCTTTACCCTACGGTGGACAGTTCCCACGTGATACCATCATACCAAAGACCCTTAGCTGTGTGTTTATATGGCTCCAGTCACACACCTGTTGCTGATCACTGATTACATAAGCTTGACTTCCTCAGCAGTGTGTTACGGTCATGCAGCCTCAGGAAATGACCTCTCAAAGATCTTCATATTTAAAAGAGAAGGATTAAGTACGTGGCAAAATAGAGATTAACAACCGATAAGGATAAAGTGGGGCTGACATACCTGAAAGTGTTTTTGATATATCAACAAAATTGTGTTATTGGATAAAACATGGTTTTTTATGACAGCATTATGCTGACTGAATCACTCTGATCACATGCCTTTTGTTTTCTATACAGAAGGGCAGTTCGCATAATAATATGATGGCTGTATTGTTCTTGACTTGTAACTTCACTATCTCATTCTATTTGCCAGTAGAAGGTTTTCCTGGCCGCATTACAATGGCCACCTCGGTCTGAGTCCTGAAGGGTCCCTTTCAGTGTTGCGCGACAGCTTTCCTGCCATAAACTTTCTGAAACCTCCTAGATGTAACCAAATGCCATTTTCACTTGGCATTTTGCATTGTAAACCATACTTTTAGGACCTCCCCTCTTCCATCTTTGTCAGCTGAGCTATTTGGCAGTGGGCTTAGTGTTTTCTGAGCATAGTGTTTTCTGTAATCAATGAGGGTTACCCCGTACTAATGGAGAGTTCAGTGAGACTTGTCATTCTACTATGTTACTGGCCAGACATTTGAAAAGCATAGCCAATTCACTGAACCCAATTCACTTGTTATAGCTGTTATAGTTTTGGCCTGCTGTTTGGTGGGGTAGGGAATATATATAAAATAAACTTAATTTAACAGTCATGTTTGCTTGTTTGCACTGCTAGATGTGTTACATTGCGTTTCTGCCTGATAATGTTAAGATTATGCATATTAATTTGGAAAAACAAAATGTAAGACATTAAATTGGGGATGAAATAATACTAGGCACGTTTAGGTTTGCCATAAACTAAAAGTTTGTGCAAGCAGTTTTTTTTCCCCAAATCTGTTTTTTTTTTCTCAAAGCATGTTGCCAGTGTTTTGCTGGTGAAAAATATGGACGGATGGATTTTTTCCTGGCATGTAGCACGAACAGCCGCCAGGCAGGCTGTGGAAAGCAGTGGCGAGCGCAAAGCCACTCTCACCGACAGAGAGGCACTTTCCCTTGACGATTATGGGTTTCATTTGGACTTTCAAAGAGACTAACAATTCCAAAAACCTTTGAAAGGGGAAAAATATATTTGTGGAACCATAAATATATACAGTTCTAAGACTGAAGATTAAGACTGAATGTTTTCAGATTCTTAAACGCAACAGTATGGTAGGAGCTGTTTCTCAAAATAAACAAGCTCAAAGCCAGCATAGGGTTTGTGAAAGCTCACAGGATCCTGCAAGACCATGGCAGTCCGCCTTCTTCAGACATTTGGGTTTAAGTGTCGCATTTAGAGTGAAAATGTCCCATCTGACCCACATCACCCGAGCAACACCATCCCTGCAGCCAAGCACAGCTTCAAAGGGAAACAACGGGCGAAAAAACCTGTTTGGTTTGCTGAGCGCTTACAGCTGGGGGAAGAAGCGTACCTTTCAGGAGCAGGACAGTTTTACATGGCCTACATACTGCCCCCTACTGGCCTGAATGCTGTCTGTTCACTGACTGTCCATAAACTACCCCAAGCAGCTTGAACTTGGGCAAATTTATAAAGAAGCTTTGAAAAGGTCAGACTTACGTACAGTAGTCTGTACTTTCCTCAGGCAGGGATTTCAGATTTTATTTATTTACTTACTTACTTACTTACTTACAAATGAGAGGAGGCCATTCGGCCCATCAAGCTTGTTTGGGGAGAACTTAACTAATAGCTCAGAGTTCTTAAAATCTTATCTAACTCTGACTTAAAGGAACCCAGGGTTTTAGCTTGCGTTACACTAACAGGAAGACTATTCCATACTCTAACTACACGCTGTGTAAAGAAGTGCTTCCTCAAATTAATTTTAAAATGTTCTCCTGCTAATTTCCACTTATGGCCACAAGTTCTAGTATTTAAACCATTCACTTTATGTGCAGCAAACATTTTCCCTCTGTGGTTTGCAAAATACTTCTCAAAGTAATATGTATCTTAATATTTTCTGATTGCTAAATAGCCGTTTAATTGTAATTAATTTTTATAGATTACCTGAAGTTTCTGGCAGTGTCCCTGTGTAGTATTTTTATTGTCGGCAGTGTTTCCAGCCCTGTCGTGGTACCACATGTGTTCCAGCCTTTTCTTTGACTGAGCACAAACCACTGAATGGCAGCTCTGTGAGTCATGATTTTAATTAGCCTGTGGTCCCATGTACCGCAGCCCCTCGTTGGTGGTTTATTCTACTTTTAATTAAAATGTTTTTTAAAATTATATTTAGGTTGTTTGAGAGGATGTTCCACAGCAAACTGTTGCAAATCATGGTATCTACATTTGATGCTGTAGAATTGTAAGGCATGTCTGCTTTTACACAATAGCAGGCAGTGCCGTCATATTCTCCTCAGTCCTGCCCACTCTCATTTTTATATCCAATCAGAAAGCAGAGTATTTCAGCTCAAAAGTAAATGTCCATATTCTGCTATGAAGTGCTTCCGTCTTGCAGGGGGGCTGGGGGCTAACCCAGGCAGCAGAGGCCTCTGGGCTACAGTCCATAGCAGGCCAGACAGCAGTGCTCCTTTAAATTTGACCTCCTTTATATATCACCTCCTTGTTTTTGTTGTTTTTTTCTAGGCGAGAAGCCAGGAAGCCACTTTTGTCACTGTCCTGCCAAATTAAAATGAGAGAAATGCTTTGTCTTATTTATAGTGTTAAGTTACTCTTACTGAATATTATATTTTGGATCCAAAGTCTTTAGAATCCAAGTGTAATTTTTGGCTTATACTCATAGCTGTTTATAGTCTAGTTAACCTCTTGCTTCACTGAGATGCATTTTGAAACTGTTTTGCATGCAAACTAAATTGATGTGATTTTCTAAAAAGTATTAAGTATAAAGTATACCCTTAATATATGTTATTCAGGGAAAGGGTGCACAGTATGTCTTCTGAAGTATTAATTTTCCAATGAGTACAACTTTTCAGATACGTGGACTTAAACCTGTTTGTTTTCTTTTATTCCTCTCTCAATTATCACAGCATCTTTAAGGACAGTTAGAGGTGAAAGATTGAGGCAGGGTGGTTATCCTCCAGGGCAGATGGTAGAGGGCTGGTATAGAGTCTGCCAAATCCATTCAGTGAGAGCATAAACACTTACAGTACTCTGGTAACTGCAGCTTTAGTGTAAACATGACTTGATGAGGACTTGTTTTTACTGCCCGCTTCACCTTCAGCTTTGTCAGAAGGTCATTTTATCCTGCCTATACAAGTGCCATCCTTCAGCGGTTTACATTCATTACTGAGCTACCCTTACGATGATTTGCTGCAGTTTGTTTTTCGTGAGAAAGTAAGGTTCCCACATCTGGGCTTGGTTTTTCTGCTCCAGATTTAAGCACCAGATTCCTGGGTCCCAGAGCCAGACAGACGGTAGCACATCTGGGTTACAGACACCATGGCTCTTCAGTTCTGGAGGAATGAGCAGGAATTTTTAACTCGCTGAATTGCTTCTATCACATAAATCTTAGGCTTATGACCAAGCCAGACAAATATGTATTCCTAACCTCCCCCTTGGACAATATCGGACTGAGCACTATTTGACAGATGAGTTTTTGTTGTGTTTGAGTAAATATGTCATAAGCCCAATTGTCCAATCAGCCAGTTAACACTAGTTATGGTATAAAAATCATCATAATGAACAAAACAGAAGTATTGAGTCTCTGGGATACAAGCTGAAAAATCAATGAGGTGGTTTAAACCGTCCCTTCGTGGTCATGGACATGGCTGGTTCAAATCCAGGAGACTGACTGTAATACCCTTGAGAAAGGAAGGTAACCTGAACTGCTCCAGTAAAAATGTAAAAATATACAGCTGTAGAATTAGGAAAGAACTTGCAAGTGACTTTGGATTGAGGTATCAGCTAATAAATTAGATTGTAATAGTGCCCCCTTGTTATTGTGTGCTTTGGGAGTTTGGAGCTATAAACCAAACTCTTGTCTGGTGGAAGCAACATAATCTCTCCTAAATCTACCCGAGTTGTGCTGGCAGTGGGTAATATTCAGTGACGGATTTATCTTTCCATTGGAGTCAATAGGGAGGCAGAACTTTGTTTCATTCCCTTTCAATCCTGCTTTATTCCTGCCCAGTGCAGTCACTTGTAGCACAGTCCCCTGTGGGGCTCTCACAATGGAAACATGCTGAAAAGTAGAGGAGCAAGTGTTTTACAAAAGTAAGGGCCTGCTCCTTTCATCCAGTCATCCATCATCCTTTGGAGTCAACAGCTACACTCTCCTGGGAGAAACTCTTGACTTATCAAAGTGCTTTTTGACAATGCAGACTGGCTGCCCATTATTTTTGACTCGGCTTCTAACCCCAGTTGAAGTGCGATCTTTAAATTAGGCACTAAGCTGCATACAGAATCACCCACGGTGCTTAAGAGCTCTATGTCTAAAGTGTCCTTTTCTTTTTCTTCTTCCTCCCTCTGTCTTTATCTTGCATACTGCATATTGTGTGTGTTCAGTAAGGTTATCTGGAGGATTCATTCAGCACACAGAGACCAGTGATCCTGAGGCCTTGCAGAAAAGTGCAGCCCTTTTTTTGTAAGGGATGTCTCTCTTGTCTGGAACCTCCTGGATCACTGCTTGCCAGCCCTGGGTTTTTTGGACCGTTTTCGGCACTGGGTCCCTGTATTTGGCTGGGCACTGTGCCCTCGCAGTCAGAGCTGTCGGCCTTAATCAAGTGTCTTTGCACTGGTATGAAGGCATTTGAGCACGAGCAGTGAAAACAGATGCTATCAGACCTTGGTCCACACTGCTAATGTGTGGACATTTGACATAAATATAATAATCTTTCCCAACTACTCTAAATTTCTATTTTTTTTCATTAAAGCACATGGTATATACAGGTATAAATATACTTATGGCTCCAGGATGATGCAGCTTTTACTCTCTTTGCTCACCATTAATATATTTCCTTTGAATATTTTACATTGGGGAAAAAACAGCATAATTCCAAGATCATGTGGTTCTTAAAAGCAAAATCATGCTTTCTGTCTAATGGGACAATTTATTCAGTTTAGCCTTATCCTGGGAAATACTAATTAAATCACTTGGAAATATTGATGAAATTTGTCCCCATTATTTGTGATTGCATTATGGTGGCCGTGAGCAGGCATATGCAGTCTTCTGACTGCGTCCCAGGTAACCAGTAGACTGATGTTGATTAAGTGACCAATTTAACAAACTTTCATTAAGAGACATCCATTGATCTTTCAGCCACCTTTTTTGTTCAGGGATTTGTGGGGGGGGGGGGCACATTCACACGCTACAGGCAATTTAAAGTCACCAGTTAAGCCCTTCTGGGGAGAACAAGTCAGCTGCCGCCAACAGAGCAGCGGTGGGATTCGTGGTTCTACCCACTAAGCCACCATGTATTACGAAATGTTATTAAAGGTAGTTAAGGCAGTAAAATCAACCCTTTGGTACACCAGTTACCTCTGAACCTACACCTGGTACATGTGTCTGTGTCCCCAGTAGTGAAAGACAAATTACTTCTATGGACTATAAAGCTCTGTTTACAATGAGAACCAGTAAAAAGGAATATAAGAATGGGAAATAATGCAGTGTCATGCAGTTTAAGTGTATTTTTTTATTACATCATAAGAGCATTTATTATCCATCTATCCATTCATCCAACTTCCATGATTCAGGGGTAAGTCTGGAGCTTCTTCTTGGAAATACAAGGCATGGGACACTCTGATTGGATGCCTGTCCATTGCAGGACACAAGGCATGGGACACTCTGATTGGATGCCTGTCCATTGCAGGACACAAGGCATGGGACACTCTGATTGGGTGCTTGTCCCTTGCAGGGCACATGGTGTGAGACACCCTGATTGGATGCCAGTCCATTGCAGGGCATAAACTCTCATACCAACGTACATTAAGCACAATTTAAGACCAATTCACACAGCTGCTGTTTTCAGACTGTGGGAGGAATGGGGACAAAGTCAGGGACGGGATCCAAAGCCCCCGCCCTGGAGGTGGGAGGTTGTCATGCTGTCCAGCCCATGCTGCTCCATTCATATTTATCAGATTTTTTTTATTATTTTTTTAAAACGTATTTATTTTGCATCTGCTATCTTGTTGATTTTCTCATTCTTTTGTTTCACTTCCACTCCATGTGTAACATCCATTTTCTGTTTTTCTCTTTGCATATACCTCTGTCTCTTCATCTTTCCTCCATTCTCTCGTTCATTTCTTCTCCCCGAAGCACTGGAGAGCTGAGGTAGGTGACCTCTGTGTGCAGGACTGCACAGAGCGCTGAATGGCTCGCATTCTCATCTGCATGCCCCCCGCTGGGTTCTGTGGGTTCTGTACGGGCCCCTCCAGTGCCTCGTCTCTGTCTCTCTTTGCCTGCTTCCTCAGGTGCTCAAATGCCCCTTTAACTAAGTTCCATTTGACCCACTAAGAAAAACATACCATTATACAAATATGCTATGTTTCAGTGGTTTAATTCATAAGAAGCATTGAGGCATTATGGGAAAGAACTGGTCACAAGGACTGTGTGATTTTTTCAGTCTTGATGTAACACTGTTGTATCCTCAATGCTACAGAATAGAATTCTAGTCTTTGTGTGCCTTGTTATTTTCTGTTCAATTGCTAACCTTGGTCACAAATTGAATGTTTCACTTCTCACTAGAGGAGAGAGAGAGTTTTGTACATTTCAGATTATGCTACAATGAACTTCTTTTAAGTCTTTTGAGTGCCATATGTGCTTTTGAAAATCATGAAGCGAAAATGGAGCCTCTGTTGTGTTCAGACTGACACGGCCTTTCAGTAGTTTGTTCCGAGTTACGGCGTCCCTACAGAGAGTGTACCCTGCTGGTTTTGCATATGATTTTCAGGCAAAGACAGAAACCACTCTTCCTCTCTATGATAACACAACCATTTGCTTTACTTGCAGCACTGGTATTGTCTTTAACAGAGGAATTTACAGTGGACCCAAAAGTCTGTGTTAAGTGCAGATGACACCCCACTGGTTATAAATCCTTCCATAAGAACCAGAGGTTACAGGGGCTGCCTGTGCAGGCGGCACGTTCAGCTCATACGTCTTTGTCAGCCCTGAATTCCTGTTTTAGCTGCTATGCTCAAAACTGCTTTTAAGTTCCTTAACTTCTTAACGATCCTTTGCCCCCTGTTCTAATAGCCACAGTTCAATAACCGCATACTTTGCAAGTATAGCCATGTACAGCCAGCGAGTCATTCCAAGAGCGTTTGGCTTGACTGAGGACAGTCTGCTCCTGCCGCTGGCCCCCAGCGGCAGCGTTTATGCCGTCCCAGTCCCGGTGCCCTGCCTTTGACTTTACCTGATGACATCTAGAAACTGACGCAGGGTTTTTGTCTTTCTGCTTATTAGTCTTTTGTATTAATACATGCTAAACAAGCTTAGGTGGCTGCAGTGTATGCATTAATTTGCAGTGTGCACCCGTAACACGCTGTTTAAGTCTGCATCAGTGGTGGTACAAACCCCATAACCATCTCTTTCCCTTATAGGCTCAGCGACATATTTCTGACCTGTACGAAGACCTCCGAGATGGACACAACCTCATCTCCCTGCTGGAGGTGCTGTCTGGGGAGACGCTGGTGAGTGGAGCCCGGGGGCTGCGGCAGCACGAGCCTCAGCTCCCACCCTCCTCGGCCTCCCCGGCCTCCCCTTCCCACCTCTGCACCAGGCTGCTGCTTATACTTCTTAAGAATGAGCGACACTGCCTGCAACACTAAAGCACTGGGTTTATAGTGCATGAGTTGTTCCCAGGGATTGTTAAAAACCTATGAGTAGTAGGCAAATATGCAGAACATATGCTTGATTATTTTTTATTACGGTACCTTTGAGTACCTGGCTTTGTTTCATTAACACATTAACTTTTTTCCCTTCATTCTGTGTGTTGTGTGTACTTTTAACTCCTTATTTTCCCTTTCTGCCTCTTGTTTGCTGGCCTTTTCACTGACCTGTTGCCCCCTCCGGTCTGTTGCCCTCTCTGCCCTGTTGCCCCACCATGTCGCCCCTCCCACCCTATTGTCCTCTCCACCCTGTTGCCCCCTCCACCCTGTTGTCCCTCCTGCCCTGTTGCCCCCTCCACCCTGTTGCCCCCTCCACCCTCTTGTCCCTCCTGCCCTGTTGCCCCCTCCACTCTGTTGCCCCCTCCACCCTGTTGCCCCTTCCACTCTGTTGCCCCTTCCACCCTGTTGCCCCCTCCACTCTGTTGCCCCTTCCACCCTGTTGCCCCCTCCGCCATGTTGTCCCTCCCACCCTGTTGCCCCTCTCACCCTTGCCCCCTCTCTTACACTGTTCTTACTGGGCTAGCCGCGGGAGCGTGACGTTATCAGGAACTTGCGGTTGGTGAGTGGGTCTGAATCTTGAGCTCATTGGCATGGCATGGGTCACTTCCATTGGCTGAGCTGAGCATGATGTCACTCTGTACCGTCACATGTACATTTTCTTATTTTAATTTCTGAACAACATGAAGTTATAAGAACGCAATAAAAATATCTAGAATGAGTCTTTATGACTCGTTCTGGCAAAGAGGGTCACCCAGAGTATTACCTTGCTTTCTTGTCATTGTAGAGAAAATGCCCGTTAGTTTAGTTTTATGATAAAATTCTAAAAAAAATCACAAAGACTCTTTTCACTTATATAAAAAATATAAGCTAAACCTTCCATGTTCTTCCTGTTCTTTTGGCCATTTACCCCACTTTGGCCATGGTTTGTCATCTGTCTTTCCATCAGAAACAGCATAAAGCCATAACTGAGGTCACGGCATCATTCACAGCAAGCCAATCTGTGCTCGACTCATAGTGCAGTTCATCTTGTGATTGGCTGAGGTAGTGCATGTGCTGTGCCACGTCTGTACAGTTACATATAGCGCAAAGATAAGTCAGGTGATATTGGGTGTGGATTTTGGTGGATCTTTTCTTTAAGGGTACATTGTACATGAATGATTAGGACAGTTTTTATCTCAACTAAAAGTAACCTGTAGATTAATAGGTTTTAGAATGAGGTGTACTGTGGTTTGGTATATGGCTGTATAGAGAGGAACAGCTAGGAGTTTCTAAGGGGAAAAATGCATATTTTAGCCATAACTTCATTCTTCCAAGAAACTTGAAGACAAAAACAGCAGAAACCTCGCTGTATTCGTTCCTCTCCCTCTTTTGTCTGGGAAGGTCAGGCTCTCCTGTTACCCACCTGCAGGGCTGTGTTCATGCCATGCCCAAGCAGCATACCCCCCCCCCACAATCTGGGAATTCTGCCCTTAATGCCTGCAGAGCTCCATCCCTCTACCTCACCTCACCTTTCCCCCTCTGCTCTCTCCGCAGCCCCGAGAGAAAGGCCGCATGCGCTTCCACAAACTGCAGAACGTGCAGATTGCACTGGACTTCCTTAAACACCGACAGGTATGGTGTGCTTCAAGTGCAGTGACGCCCCACCCGAGAGTCCGATACAGGATGTAAGGAATCAGCTTGTTCTCAAGCGTTTAGCTATTGAGAAGTCTGAACAGAACATTGCTAGTCAGGTAGTCTTTTAAAGTGACAGTGTCCTTACTCAAACGCATACCCTTACGTTACGTGCTGCTACTCGCTGCCATGTCATGTGTAGTGTCTCAGGGATTAAGTGCCTGTCTTACTCACAGGTCAAGCTGGTGAACATAAGGAATGATGACATTGCCGATGGCAACCCCAAGCTGACCCTCGGGCTCATATGGACCATCATCCTTCACTTCCAGGTGCCAGACTCTGTCTCCGCCACCTTTAGTTCCACTTAATGTTCTTCTTCTCCTCATTGTTCATGCAAACTCTCATGGCAAAAGATTTTCTTGCATTATTCACTTTTTGCAAGGTATTACACTAAATTTTCAACACTCAGCTTAGAGAACGTACCGAATTTTTTCTTCCTTTACTTTGCCCGTTGTAAAGTTGAGAATGTTGGATACAGCTGCCTCCCATTGGGTGAGTCAGCATTTCCTGACAACAGGGACAAGGATGCAGGAGCTGCACCACACCCCTGTAACAGCCATCCCTGCCAAGCCCTGCGGCCATTTCTGGCCCCTGTGCAAAATTAGCTTTAATTTTTTCAGCAGATTGACTTGCAAGAATGGTAGTCCTGTGTGTGTGCTTATAGACCAGCCCTCAGACCTTTCCTTTCCTGTTATTTATTTGATTGTGTACCATGAATCTCTCAACAGATCACTCAGTGATATGGCAGATTTTTGGAACTTTGGGAACATTTGCGGAGTTGAGCTTATTGTGGCATGTTATCTGCTAAAACTTGGAAGAAACTACTGCAGTTTTAAGGCTAATCTGAAATATCACATGTTGGCCGCCTTTGGAAACCATCAGTAGGAACTCTAACAGCACAGCAAGAAAGTAGAAACGGTTTTTCCTGGCCTATGCAACATGTCACAAGGGAGAAGTTAAAGCAATGGGCATTTTCCAGTGAGGAGGGAAATTTGCATTTGCGTACATTTTCCCAAAGATAGTTAAGGCCCTAGGGTGCTGGTGAGTCACAGTGCGTGCGTGCAGTCGGTGGTTTTCTGGTTTCTGGTGGGGGGTGGGGGCTGCTCTTGGTTCTCTTATGCCACCGATTGGCAAATAAATAAGCCTCAGAATGAATAAGACTCAAAGAAACTCAAAAAAAAAAGGTTTCCAGCGGGAAGCCTGGTCACGCTGCCCACCGCCAGAAGGAAGCCCGGGCGGTGACTCACCCGGCATATTTCCTCCCATAATCAAAAACAACCCACAACATAAAAGCAGCTTTTATTCTCATGTGAGTCACTTATTTATCTTATGACTAAAGGCCTTTGCTGCTGGTTCGCTGGTGCTGCTGCGAGCCTTTTGTGTTTTGGGGGGCTTCCAGAAGCCCACCCAGTCAGGCTTCACTTTGCACAGAGGTGCCTTCGATGGTTTCGCTAAGCTGCTGGCGGTGGCTGTTTCGGCTGACGCAGACAGACCTCAGACTCCTCAGTTTTCCTACATTCAGCTAATCGAATCTGAGAATTATTCCTCCCATTAAAACTGTAAACAGCATAATCTGGGTTTGCCCACATTAAAAATCTCAAACAGGCGTCTGAGTTTTTTTTTGTTTGTTTCAGAGGTCATGTCTATAATCAGTGCATTCTTTGTATTGTGACAATTCTTGCTCATGAGACTTTTTCTACCACAACTATACTCAGTGATTTCAGACCTTTGTGTAAACATTACCCCCATTAGCAAGACTGCACTTCGCAGCCGAGCCTCTGCTGATTTCACGCAGTACATTATTATTACATTGTTATGACTATGCAATTGGCCAGTGTTACACAGCAGCTCAGTTTCCGTCCAGCAGTTGTCATTCCCTTGACCTTCCCCTGTAGATGTTGGCATCCCTTTTGACGTTGGTCCTTATCGTGCCTGCAGATCTCTGACATCCAAGTGAATGGGCAGTCAGATGACATGACCGCCAAGGAGAAGCTCCTGCTTTGGGCCCAGCGCATGGTGGAGGGCTACCAGGGCATGCGCTGTGACAACTTCACAGTCAGCTGGAGGGATGGCAGGCTCTTCAATGCCATCATCCACAAGCACAGGTGAGCAGTGGTGAACCAAAGTCAGCAGCATGCTGGGAAAGGCGATCGATCTGCAAGATGTGGAGGACAGCACCGGAAGCTTTAGCAATGTCCTGCCTCCAAGCCAGCATGGAAGTCAGGAAACCTTGCCTGATATTTTTCAGTATTTAGGACTTGTATTTAAGATATACTTAGTACAGTTTGCAGTGAAATTCTCATTTGCCAAACTCCAAGACTGCGAAACAGGGAATGTAATTATAAAGAAACAAAACATTAAACAATTATCATAAATATCTCTTAAATAGTTTATAGTAAAGTGACTCTGCTCTTATATTTTTATTTATCTCAGAAGTCTCAGGAGTTTGCTTTTGCTTTATTTTTTATAAATAGTATCTTGATTGAGTGACCTATTTATATCGCCCTTAAATACAGAATTTTACAAAGTCACTGGTGCATAAAAAGCTTGTCAGTTCTCTAATGCCTTTATTACCTTCATGAGAATTGGGTGTACCCCCCCCCCCCCCAGGCGCTCCCCTAATAGTCTACACGAAATGCTGGTGAGGAACCTTTATTACCGGAATGTGGAAGGGCCATATATCTGTGTCATCATACCTGCCAACGCTTGTAGGCATAAATTCTTTCGTGCAAAAAAGAATTTTTTCCACTAATTTGGCAACTTTACAAGGATTATATAATGACAATCTGTAAAAATAATCATTATAAGTGAATGGTTCTGATTGGTTTCATTTGTTTATATATTTGATAAAAGCTGTCTTGTATTGCAGTGCACTTTCAAAATCCTAGTCTGACTTCACCAGTCAACAAAACACTGGCGCATCTACTTTTACAATGAAATTCTTACAGAAGTTAAGAAATTAAGAATGTCATTAGACCAAAAACAACAAGTGGTGGTCAATTGCCATGTTATATGTGCAGCATTTGTTGTTGCACTAAAATAAGTAAAACCACAGGGGTTATTTTGCAGTGGAGTATGCAGGATTACTATATCACTGCATTGTGGACATGTGTGTCTCAACTTGCAAGTCCACCAGTGAAGTGTCATGATTTTCTTGCATCTATTTTTTTGGTAACAGTTTACTTGATGGGCTGCAAAGAGTTAGTAATAACTCAGTTACTACTGAAGTACAAATTCTGAAAAAATCATGAATGAATATATTGTAGTTGCTACTTAAGATAAAAGATCCATCACAATTCATTAATGATGAACAAACATGACATCAGTATTTCACTAGTTCCTTAGTAATTCTTTCTGTAGTTCCTTCAATAGTTCACAAAGTGTTACAGAATAAAGAGGTATAGTAACAAATATACTAACTGTTTGAGATAAAATATGCATCACGATTCATTAACAATGAATCAACATGAGATCAGTATATGTCAGTTTGTGGTTATTTAATTCATAAATAATAGTATAATACTATATTATTTGTTCCCCATCAAGTAACCTGTTACCGGTTTTTTTTTTTTCCATATCAAATTTTTATCCAAATGATATACAGTGCTCACAGAAAGTCTTGGGATGCTTGCTTAATTCTGTTAAATTATGCTAATTTATTGGTTTCATAACACAAATCCACTGACAAGCATGTTTAACATATCTGCACATATCTTCCAAACAGATGTTTTCTTTTTATTAAGTGTGGTCATTTTTTGACTGACTCATAATGTTCTGTTTTTGCCATTTTGCTATTAATTGCAATTGTAGTCATTTGCTCCAAAAAGGATACTAAACACGTTTGGCATTTTATATTATTGCAAAGGTGTTACTAATTAAATGGCACCCAATGAGACAGCTCTTTTAGAACTGTAATTTGGGTTTCAGTTCAGTCCCTGGAGCAGTTGGGTTAATGGGCCCAACAGTAAAATTACTCTACCAGCTATGCAATTTGAACCATCGACCTTCCGACTGGTGGAGTGGTGGCTCTGAGATTAGTGATCTGTGCTGGCAATCTGAAGGGTGCTGGTTCAAATCCCATGAATGCCAGGAGTGATACTACTCTGTTGGACTCTTGACAAGACCCTTAACCTGCAATTGCTTTGTCTTGGGTACAACGTTAACCTACATCCCATCCTGCAAGCAGGTCCTCCAACTTTCAGGGAAAATTTTGGGGGTTGGTGGCAGGATTGGCACTCCAACCGCCGGCAAAAACTTCACACTGTTCCATTCCACTCAAACTAGTATGGTGCTGAGGTATCACTTGCTGCACGGCTGTACTCGGGTTCTCATCCCTGAGATGGTTCGTCACATGGTTGGCGTGGCAACATGCTGTATCAGCGTGTGCTCCTTACCCCTCTCTCTTCTGATCACAGGTACAGCATCCTAACCTGAGCCACACCATGCCTATCTATCACTGTGCACATGTGATAGGAGCCTAATGCCTCAGCTACCTTCCACTAATCTAAATATGGGCCTGCCGTCTCATGTAGGCCAAAGGTTTCCTAACAACAATGTTACCTGTCTTTTTTTTATAATGGCATTTATTTTAATACATTTTTTAATACATTTTTACATTTATTTATGGCCTGCTGAGATTATTTGAAAAAGGGATTAACAGGACTTGGAGATTCAGAAGCTTAATGATGAGTGCTAATTAAGGGTGATGGAACATTGAAGGTGGAAGTATGAGCAGTGGCCCAAGGACATGAAAATGACAGGAGGGGCGTGGCGGTTCCAGGGTAGGAGTTCTGTAAGAACGCCCAGCTGCCTTAGCTCCCCTTAAGGCTTCTTGCCAGGAACACGTACAGACTGTCAGATTTTAAAAGCAGAAGACTGCAGAGTCTGCAATCCTTGGGCACGAAGACGTCCTCTCATGAATTTATTGATGCGTTTTTCTTTTTTTGTTTCCCTTTTAATTGTTTAGCCGATTTGTTGTTGTCGTGTAACCAATATCTTCAGAACCCAAAGGACTAACAAGGACACAGATTTGACGTAGTGAATTGCAGAACCTTTAAGGATTGAAACAGGTTCTGGGATTGCTCAAGAGAATTCGGATATATAGTCCCGAAGATGGGGGATATCACTTTGGAGACTTGAACTCCTTTATGGACTTCGGTGAAATATCAGCACATGTTAAACTGAATCTTTTCAAAGAATGAACAGATAAGCGGAGAAAGGAGGAGAAAGTGCCGCTTCTCCATTTGTTGTCCTTCTGCCCCATGCACCATGATGCTCAGTCTGAAGAGGAAGCTGAAGAGAAGGCGCCAGCGTGGCGGCTCCTCCAGCTCCCCGGCCGAGCCGGACGACCGCGTGCTCATGCTCTGCGACGACATCCCGTCGGAAGCCTTACTGGACTCCGGCTGGGAGTCGCTCAGCCTCGGGGCCCGCTCCAGCCTCGGGGCCCGCTCCAGCCGGGGCTCCCACGGCACGGAACAGGAGCTGGGAATCCCTCAGAGCCGGGAGGGGTCCCTCACCCTGCGCCGTGTTCAGAGGAGTCCGGGCGAATACTGCACCCTGCGCGTTAGGGAGCTGTACGTGCTTTCATAGGCATCTGCATGGCGGGGGCAAGGCGGGGGGGGGGGCAGGGGACTTCTAGATGTTATCCTCAGGGGTGGATTATCGGGGGACCTTAGGCTGACATCAGCAGGGCTGGCTACAGCCAAAGCCGGAATAGACAGTTAATTGGGCCCCCTGAACTGCGGAGGAAGCAAAATGATCATCAGTTATCTTAGTTGGGGGGCATGTAAAGCTTTGCCTAGGCCCCCGGAAAAGGTAAAGTCGATGGACAGCGTTGCGTCTCTCCTGAGGCAGGGGAGGGCCCTGATGTTTGCCAGTGCATTAATCCATCCCTGGTTGTCCTATGGTGTGTTATCCTGCACTGCAGTCTCACATGTTCTGGAGTGTGAATAAACTTTTTAACTTTCTTGTCTCTCATGATTAATAGTAGAGTTCCCCCTTTCAAAACGGAACGAATGTTTTACGTCCTGTTACTTATTTTATTATTTGGCTTGGTTTTTTTTTCCCTCTGTGCCACACCCTATGGTGTTTTCAACAAGCGTTTTTTATTGGGCTTGAAGCGGGGCCAATTCACAGTACCTATGTCTGTGTGCCATTCTATCTGCATTATTATAGCGCATCTGAGAGTTTGTTAAATCTGAAGAGCTACAGGAACTTTCTGGGCATTTTAAGGATTTTTTTCCCAGCAGCCTCTCCTGGAATCGGCTCTTTACCACATACCTGCCAGGAGACACGTCAGTGGTCTGCAGGTCGCTTCCTGCCATGAGCTGCCGATGTCTGCATACTTACAGAGAGAACAGACAGTTAGAGGATTCTTATAACTTGCAAAATAACCCTGTAGGACTTTTAATAGTTGAATTTATTTATGACGGACGGCATTATGCAGATGTGGTCATTTATGATCTGAATAAGCTTGATGATGTACTCCGTGTGCACGCTGACCTCGCTGGACCTTTGTATCCGCTGTCCAACACCCTCTGACTCTGTGTCCCCAGACCCCAGCTCATCGATATGAACAAGGTGTACCAGCAGACCAACGTGGAGAACCTGGAGCAGGCTTTCAACGTGGCTGAGAAAGAACTAGGGGTCACACGCCTGCTGGACCCGGAGGGTGAGGGTGCTGACAAATCTGGGTTTGATCTCCTTTTTGATGTCCAGCCATGGAAACAAGCCATAAGAGTAGACACACGCAATCCATTCAGGACTGAGGCCTCCAAGGTCAAAGCCTCAGCTGAAAAATTGTTCATGGCCTTCATGTTGAAAGAAGCCACCCTACTTGTCTCTCTACATTTGTTTACCAGGATTCAGCAATTGCCCATTCATAGATCTCAGTCTGGTTCCTGATTACAAGGAGCTGAAGGATATTTCCCCTGTTCATTTCTGCAGATGTGGACGTGCCACATCCCGATGAGAAGTCGATTATCACCTACGTCTCCTCCCTGTATGATGTCATGCCACGCGTGCCTGATGTCCAGGAAGGCGTCAGAGCCAATGTGAGCTTTGCTGTCTAATGTTTAGCTGGGTCCAGCTTTGCAAAGCCCTCCTTAGTGCTGATTTGGACTCTTTCGTCTTGTGTTCCCTGGCACTGGGAGCAAGCTATGAAAAGCACACACACTTAATGTTAACACCCAACGTCCTCCACAGGAGCTGGAGCTGCTCTGGCAGGAGTACCACGACCTGGTTACCCTCCTGCTCCAATGGATACGTCACCACATCGTTGTCTTTGAGGAGAAGAAGTTCCCTTCCAGCTATGAGGAAATTGATGTGAGTTTATAGGAGCATATGATGGATTAATGAAAAAGTCAGAGTCCTTGGCCTGCCAGTTATCAGAATATGACTAATCTTTACATGCATCAAAATAGCCACCCGATGAGTTATGATTGAATCTCTTTCAGTATCATTTTAGAATTAATTTCTACTGCTCTTGGTGTGTTGGTTTCTCATTAATATCTCTATACTTACTGGCATTTTCACTTATCACCATATTCAATATATACTCAATATATATTACATTTGAAAGTCTAATGTGGGCAAGGAACAGGACAAAGGAATCTTGGAAAAGCCTAGAATTCCCCTTTAGGAAAAACAGAGAATTATTCATAAACAAACAGGAACTTGCTGTTTTGTAGGGATAAAAGACAAATGCTGCGCAGTGACGTTTAGGGTCAACATTAAAAGAGAAATCTGGTCGAAGTAATCTGTTTACTTCATGATACTGAAGAGGAAAACAAAAAAAATCAATTAATATTGAATAGAATTATTAACAATTCAGTCATATTTATGTGACATAAAAACAAGTTACAGCAAACTGGCTAGCTGCACAAGCTGACGGTTTCTTCTGAAAGGTGACAAACAGCACGGACCCCTCTGTATCACACAGGCATGAACCACACTTCACCATTGTCATTATGGGACTGACTAATCTAAGTCCATTATAATCCACTCGCTTTATTGTCGTTTCAGTAAAAACAACCGAAAGGTCTTTACTTAACCCTTTGTCTTTAATTGGATGCTGCCCCCATGATATTTAATGGGAAAGCAGCCCCATTTCATTATGGCCTCCATAACTTTGCAGATTCTGTGGCGACAGTTCTTAAAGTTCAAAGAGACGGAGCTCCCAGCCAAGGAGGCCGACAAAAAGCGCTCCCGGCACATCTACAAGTCCTTCGAGGTGAGTCACGGGCCCCGAGTGATACTGACTCCAGTCGGACAGCAAGAAAGCCAGGAAGACTCAGCCGTTCTGCTTGGGCTCCTCTCTGTACAGGGCGCTGTGGATGCCGGCCAGGTCAAGGTACCCCCCGGGTACCACCACATTGACATAGAGAAGGAATGGGGCCGTCTGCATGTGGCCATCCTGGAGAGAGAGAGACTTCTCAGGACAGAGTTTGAGAGGTGAGTCAACAGCAAAGGCTAAAACCTCAGACCTCCCAAAGCGCTGCCTCACTACTCACAAAGAAGCAGGAGAGTGATTAACAATTTGTCGACTTACTTTTACATCTAGGACAAGGTCCTTCAAGGGACATGTTTGAGTAAATGGAATCATTCGCATATTGATAATGTAACCAATTATGAAGACACACTGTAAAACTTACAGGCTCAGTGCTGACGTGCAGCCGCACCCCACGCAAAGTCCGCAGGGTTCCCTCCGTACGATAGCGCCCTCGGCCGCTCGCACCGCGGTCACAGCAGCAGGCTCAGTGCTGAGCACCCAGACGATTGTGGGCTCTGTAAGCACAGTCAAGAGAAGGAAATATGCAAATGTTGCTGACAGTGCTACTGTGGGCTCTAAAATAAGCAGTGATTATTTTAGTTTTATCCGTGTCATTAAACTGTGATTTCCCATATCACAAGAAGCAGGGTGTGACGCTTGGCAGGGCTGGATTATGTCACAAGACCACTATGAGCTTGGTACTTATTAATCAGACCGGCTGCAGAGGAGCCTTGCTTTCAGTTCTCATCCGAGAGACAGCTAGGCAGCCCTCATTAGCCTCTCAGGCTGGAAGGTGTCCTCCACACAGTCTGACATTTCCCAGAAGGACTTGGTCCCCTGTGCTCCTCGGCCATGACTCTTACACATGACAGCTTACGTTTACAGTATCTGCTTCACCGCCGGGGTCTGTGAGTTTTCAGCTGTTTTTATGTGTTTATGAGAGCTAATGACCTCAGTATGTTTGCTAGCATGTAAATGTCTGACTGTACATAAGGATTAATACATTTTCATATATTCAGCATTTTTTTCTTAATTTTACATTGAATTTATTACTGCATTTTAGGAATTATGTATCGAAACTACAATATATTTTTCAAGTTGAAAGTAACTCTTCAAAAACTTAGTACTGTATGTAAACCCTATATTCCCATGATACTGACAGTATTGCATAGAATAATTCCAATAATCCATGTTTAAAAGTGTTGTAGATCTCTTCCCACATTTTAAATAATTTTGTTTTTATTGAATCCGTGCCTTAAGCTAGGCAGCCCTGTGCTGTGCGATGAGCGTCTTAGTGCCTGTTCTCTGTACGGCATAGCACCTTCTTCCACGCTCCGAGCGTCTTAGTGCCTGTTCTCTGTACGGCATAGCACCTTCTTCCATGCTCTGAGCTGTGGCCTCTGTTTCCTGGAATCTGTTCAGGCTGGAGCGCCTGCAGCGGGTTGTCAGCAAGGTCCAGATGGAGTCCGGGGTGTGTGAGGAGCAGCTGAACCAGGTGGAGACCCTGCTGCAGGCGGTGAGTTAGAGGGGAGGATCCATCGCCTTGGAAACGGAGGGCTGCCAGTTTTAACATGTTCGAATCCCTAGCGACTGCTCAGAAAGAGGCAGCTGGGAGTTGTTAACATGGTGATGATTGGTGTTGTCTGATATGGTTTTGACAGAAAGTTCCTCTGGTAATTGTCTGATTAAGCATTACACTAATTGACACCTTCGTTTACTCATGTATTTAATATAAATGTCAGAAAATGTGTGACCATGTGACCGTCTAAGCAGCATTTAAAATCGCTTGGTTCTGTACTCCAGGACGTCCGGCAGCTGAATGCAGGGAAGCCGGCTCAGCACATGTCTGAGATGGAGAAGGACTTGGAGAAGGCAGAGGGGATGATCCGGCTGCTCTTTAATGACGTGCAGTTGCTTAAGGACGGGCGCCACCTACAGGCAGAACAGATGTACAGGAGGTGAGACCTGCTTCATCAGGTTTAATCTTGGAAACACATTCAGTAGAAACATATATACTAAGTACTAGGTACACCTAGCTAATACCGGGTAGGACCCACTTTATTAGGTACACCTAGCTAATACGAGGTAGGACCCACTTTGTTAGATACCCCTAGCTAATACGAGGTAGGACCCACTTTATTAGGTACAGCTAGCTAATACGAGGTAGGACCCACTTTATTAGGTACAGCTAGCTAATACGAGGTAGGACCCACTTTATTAGGTACAGTACAGCTAGCTAATACTGGGTAGGACCCACTTTATTAGGTACAGCTATCGGGTAGGACCCACTTTATTAGGTACACGTAGGTAGAACCAGGTTGGACCAACTTTTTCCACCATAATAACTTTGAGGGTCAATGAATTAATTCAGAGAAACTTTACATCACATGCAGCACCAACAATTACATCAAATTTAAAATTACATAGATCAAGCGTCTTAGCTTTTCCAATGTTTAACCAAACCATAACTGAAGCCTTTAATCCTCCCTCTGTACTGTATGTATGGTGTTGCAATGAAATGATTGGCGGTTTGTAGGAGCATGCTGTATACACTATCAAGAATGTGTACCTAATGAACTGGACACTTAATGTATTTACATCAAATGTTGTTTTATGTGTGCTCTTGAATTTCAGGTTTGCAGTTCTGCATGTATGTAGTGTCTAAAGTGTATATAATGTGTAAAGTGTTAAACGATAGCTGTTGTGTCTCATGCTTATCACCAGAGTGTATCGTCTGCACGAGCGACTGGTGAACCTGCGCAGCGAATACAACCTGCGTCTGAAGTCAGGAGTGACCAGCGCTCAGATTCCCATAACCGCAACCCTCCAGCCTCACCACATGAGGGCAAAGCCGGAAGTGGATGAAGTGACTCTTCGCTACATCCAAGACCTGATGTCCTGGGTAGAGGACAACCAACGGCATGTGGATGGGGCCGAGTGGGGCTGCGACCTTCCCTCGGTGGAGTCCCAGCTGGGCAGCCACCGTGGCCTACACCAGTCTATCGAGGACTTCCGCTCCAAGGTCGAGCGGGCACATGCTGACGAGGTACAGCAAGACACAGGAGTATGCGTGACATTTTTGCAAAATCTATGAGTCATTTTTGTTAAACCCAATCTTCATTTCGATAGTAGGAATATTTTCCTAAGTTATGTTTTGAAGTCCTTCAACAATTGTTGTGATTGAGCTTCATTGTACTTTAAGAGGAATAATTGTTTTATTGCTGTCTCCAGAGTCGGCTGTCTTCAGCGACTAAGGGTTCCTACAGAGAATACCTTGGCAAACTGGATCTGCATTATGCCAAACTGCTGGTAAGTGCCAGCTTTTAATTGCACTCTTTTCCAAAGATGCCCTTTTGTTTATACTATGCAGTTTGCAGAGAGTAAGCAGTGGAGAGGTGACAAGTGTCTTCTTCTGCTTCAGAACTCCTCCAAGGCCCGTCTTCGCAACCTGGACCAGCTGCAAGCCTTTGTCAGTGCCGCCACAAAGGAGCTCATCTGGCTAAATGAGAAAGAGGAGGAGGAGGTGAACTACGACTGGAGTGAGCGCAACACCAACATGACCACCAAGAAAGACAACTACTCGGTATGACTTCTCAAGATGGGTCCCCCTGTACAGGGAAAACCAGGCGGGCAAATATGACATATGCCACAGGACATGTTTTAGCTGACTCTTACGGTTCTGTGAAGTATTCTTTGAGGAGCTTTGTAGCATTTGCATATTATTGCTCTATCCTGGGTCAGGGTCTGATGCGTGAGCTGGAGCTGAGAGAGAAGAAGGTCAACACTATGCAGGCAACTGGAGAAAAGCTCCTGAAGGACAGCCACCCGGGCAGGAAGACCGTGGATGTGAGTGAGGTGAACACTGGATGGCTGAAAGCTGGTAGCTCTCATACCGTGTTCCTCACCTTGTTCCTCTGTCCTCCCCAAGGCTTTTATTGCGGCTCTGCAGACCCAGTGGAGCTGGATCCTGCAGCTGTGCTGTTGCATCGAGACCCACCTTAGGGAGAACTCCGCCTACTTTCAGGTAGACTGGGAGCCTGGGCTGCCAAAATAGGCCCCTGGGTTCACTGAAAGCTCCTCTATGTTGGACCTTGAACCAAATGTACACTTTTTATCCTGCATTCAGCATTAGATTTTACACCTACATTTAAACACCAAAGTATCCATACTCATGTTTTTATTGTATTCTAGTAGTGATGTTATTTACTTATTTATTTACATATGCTGTATAGGGAAAGGGGTATGGAAAACGGAGGGATGGATGGATGAATCGATTGATTGAATTATTATTATTAAAATTATGATTGATTCTGTTTATATGAAAACATGAATAAAATATGTCCTATTTTAAGAAATGCTTTTGTATCACTTTCGGCTTCTATTTTCCCCCCTGTTTCTGTGTAGTTCTTCTCTGACGTCCACGAGGCCGAAAACCGGATGAAGAAGATGCAGGATGTCATGAGGAAGAAGTACACGTGCGAGCGCTCCATCACTGTCACGCGGCTGGAGGACCTCCTGCAGGACGCAGCGGTACGTGCCGCCTCGTCGTCTTCCTCTAGAGCTCCACGGCCACATGGCCAGCCTGGTGCTCAGTGCCGTCTCCTGCCTTCCACAGGAAGAGAAGGAGCAGCTGAATGAGTTCAAGACTCTGGTGGAAGGACTGAGCAATCGGGCCAAGACCATTGTGCAGCTCAAGCCACGCAACCCAGCGTGCCCTCTGAAAGACCACCTAACCCTCCAAGCCTGCTGTGATTTCAAACAGATGGAGGTGAGATGCAGTCACTGCTCTTGAAAGTGGATCTATAATCAATATTTAGCCATGGGATGAAATTATGGGCTGCAGGACATATCTGAACTTGGGGGGAGTCACATCCTCTTGTTGTGATTGCCAGTGCTGCTGATGACATCACAGTTTTTTTGTGATTGTTCATTACTGCTAACTTAGTGATCCTCCAGAAGTGACGCGGTCCGCTGAAGGCGCTCACATAGTTTACCTGGTGGTTTCTCCCCCGTCCCAGATCACAGTTCACAGGGGTGATGAGTGTCTACTTCTCAGCAACTCACAGCCCCACAAGTGGAAGGTGCAGAACAGCTCTGGGCACGAGGCCGTCGTCCCCTCTGTCTGCTTCCTCATCCCTCCACCGAACAGCGAGGCCTTGGACTCTGTCTCTGGGTCAGCCTTGCCGCCCCGGGTTCCTGCAGGTGTCCTCTGGTCCGGCCCATACGAAGCTGACCCCTTGCTCGTGCCCCCCCAGGCTTAGCACCAGCGTGCAGAAGCTGATGGCACTGTGGCAGACGTTACATCTCGACATGAAGGTTCTTCTCTCCTGGCAGTACCTGATGAGGGACATCCAGCAGATCAACTCCTGGAACACCATCGTGGTGAGAAACCATAATCGCCCGTCTCTAAAACTGCTTATTCAGCTTCAGCTCACGGGCCCAGTCGGTATAGTCATTTAGTTCTTCATTAATTCATTTGGAAGCGGTTCTAAAATGCAGCACGGAGAGCGCTGCTAATATATGTGATGTTACCAGGATCTCATCCTGTCATTAATTCATTTGGATGTTGGATGTGTTGGGTGGGCACCATTGTTCCAGGTATATCAGAGGTTGGCGATGACACCCCATGACCACACTTAACCACACCCATGACCACTCATAGCCACACCCACAGCCCAACTTAACCACACCCTTAGCCACACCCCTCGATTTCCATTGTATTTTTCAGCAGTGATCCATGCTAATAAGCTAGTAAGCGATACGTGGGTTTTTCAAGCAGTCTTCCATGCTATTGCACCAACATAACAAGCATGAATTTTTCATATGCCTCCCATCGTCATGCAGGCAAAAGCAAGGACTTAATTTAAAAACATGTGCTTTTAAAAACAGCATTATAAATCGGAGGGGTGTATTTTTTAATTTCATTAACGATTCTGAGAAATTTAAAATAGTTCTTGGAAAAAACAATTGTCATGTGCTGTTTTCACAGATGTTTTTTAAATATTAGTGTGAAGCACCTTTAAATAGAGGTGGCCCGGAATAAGTAGATAGTCTTAAGCAGCAAAAACGTCTCTGACGTCAGCTCTCTGACATTCAGATCTTTCTTTTTAAAGCTGTTTGTACTCCCGTCTGGGCTCATTTCGGACTCTCTGCCTCCCCGTCTCTCCCTCCCACCTGCTGTCCAGTTTAAGACGCTGAAGGTTGAGGAGTATAAGCAGGTCTTCCGCAGCTTGGAGCTGCACTACCAGGACTTCCTGCGGGACAGCCAGCATTGCCAGCTGTTTGGGCCCGACGACCGGCTGCATGCGGAGGGCAGCTACAAGAAGGCGTCCCAGCACTATGATGAGCTGCTGTGCTCCGTGGAGAGAGGTGTGCATCACCACGTCCCACAGGAGGAGCTTCGCTTTGCCTTTTCATCTCATTCCGAAGTGCTCTCGTGTTTTTGTTTTTTTTTACTGACTAGAGCAGATCTCATTTCTACGAATGCAAAAGCCTGTGTTATATTCTACAAAATTCTACTCATCAGACACATTTTTCTGTCTATGTACTGTAGGAATACGAGCCTTAACATTGTTGTGGCTTTGTTTAGTGGATCTTTATATATTCTGAGTTTGGTAAAAAAAAAAAAAAAAGTGAAATGTAAATGTCACATTTACTTTTCAGTGTCTCTGGTTGGCCACAGTGGTGAGTTAGGTTTGGATGACGTTGTTTGTCGGAACGTAAATGAATCGACTGTCTTTTTAAAAGAATTCAGTTGCAATGATTGCTGATGCTGAATATTAACAGAAATGGTGTGAACTGCCCAGTGCATGGCGTGATTTCTGGGCCTGAAATGAAAAGTGCTGTTTCCCTGACATACTGCTGCTTGTTTGATATACTGTGATCGCAGACAGGAGCTCAAAGAAATAACTATAAATGTTTGATTGGTGTGAAACTAATATCTAATTATACGTTAATTTTATGTAGATTGATTCTGAGAATAATGATACAGGCACTTGGGGGTGAGGTGGGAGCGGGACCCCACCCCTCAGTTTCTCCGCACTCTGCTCTACCCCCTGACTCCAAAACTCATTCCCACTTCTGTATGTGTCTGTTTGTCTTATGGAGAACCAAGTGGGAAAGATGAAAAGACAAATTCCCCACGGGGATGAAGTATTATTGTTATTATCAGCATGACAAATGGATATATTCTGACTTGGGGAAGTTTTGCACTGAGGCTCTGTTCCGGGAGCAGATTTGAACACACTCTTGTGTGTCCAGGTGAGCAGGAAGAGTCGGCGTGCAAGAGCTACATCACCCAGCTGAAGGACCTGCGGCTGAAGCTGGAAGAGTGGGAGACGCGCACCGTCAGCCGCATCCGCCAGGCCATGGAGAAAGACCCGCTGAGGGACTGCACGCAGAAGGCGGCCGAGCAGGAGGTACCGTCCCCTGGGAACCGCCTCCGCTCGCCTGATAGGGGGAAAGGGCGCTCTGCATGTTCATCATTCCGTGTTCATCGGCACATCTAGACTGTGGGTGTTGTTTCATTTTCAATTGAAAAATGTGAGTAATTATAAAAAATAAATACCGGCAAAAGTTAGGATTTAGAATTTGGTTTTGAAGGCCACACTGCCTGTCTGGATGACTGAATTTTTTGTTTCATTCTTGAGAGAGTGGGCCAGAATGAGCAGAGGAATTTGACAGAGACATAGAACAAAGGAGCAAGACAAGAAATGGTGAAAAGAACAATCAACAAGCAGATGGGAGCTGCTGACTGGCACTGCCATCAGAATTGGGGGGGGGGGGGGGGCAGGGAGTCAGGAAAGGGAGCTGGGTGGGGTGGCTTCAGTTGCCTAGCCCTTTTTCCTGAGCTTGTTGGCAGAGCAGAGGGAAAGCAGAGAGAGCCCCAGCTCCCTGACCTTCCTCTGGGACGCCGTGTCTCCATGGATCCCACTGATGATTTGATAGGAGCGCTGCTCGATTCCCTGCTGCGCCTCCTCTTGTCCCTCCTGGGGCTCCTTTTGCTGGCCGTGCTCTCGCTGCTTTTCCACTTCGACCTGCTGGAGGCCATTTGTCACGCCACGCTGTTCAGGCGGGCAAGACCCACTGACCGGAACCAGCACCGTGTCCAACCATGGGTACTTCGGGTTCTGGGCTGATCATTATACCTATGAAATGATTAATGTTTTATCCGACTTTGGGGTTTCTTAACACATGCTGTTCTTTGCTGGTTCGTCTTTTTATATTGCCGTTGACGTTGTCTGTTTTTTTTTTCTTAGAAAGTTCAGACCGAACTGCAGGGCATCAAGAAGAATCTGGACTTGATGGTGCCAAAGGCGGAGAAGGTGCTGGCTTCCCCTGTGCAGCCCAGCTCCGCCCCCGTTCTGCGCTCTGAGCTGGACATCACCTTAAAGAAGATGGACCATGTCTACAGCCTGTCCTCTGTTTACCTGGACAAGTGAGTCTCATCCAGGGCTTTTTTACTGCCTGCTCTCCATGAGGAAATTTGGCCTGTTTACCCATGTTAAAAACGACATAAAGTGTTTCACGGTAAAAGCGACAGCATTGCTTAGGGTTAGGCTTAGGGTTAGGCTTAGGGTTAGGCTTAGGGTTAGTGGTAACATCCCTCTCCCCTCCCCCATCCTCTTCTTGTTTTTCTCTTGGCAGACTGAAGACCATAAAGGTGGTGATCCGCAGCACGCTTGGCGCCGATGAGGTGCTGAGAACGTACGAGGGCCATCTGCGTGAGGTCAAGAAGGTGCCTGTGGATGCCAAGGAGCTGGAATCCGACCATAATGAGCTGAAGGTACTGTGTGGCCTCCACATCACAACATAGCTGTTTATTGTGATGTCTGAGTGTTGCATTGAAATTTGTTGCTGTGGGATTACACTATGCTGGTTTGTTTTACTCTAGCAGACTTAAAAGGTCTCTGATTCATTAAAAAATGGTTCTTTGAAGACTGAGCAGGATTAAGTTCAGAAAACATGATAGAGTTATGGTGTTTCCAAACTTGGTCCCTTTCAACCTTCAAAACAAACTCAGAGCAATTATTCAGCATTTTTTGTTCATATATGAACACTCCAAACAAACTCAGAACCCCCGGAAATGAATCGAACCTCCTCAATATTAGAGTTGGCAAGGCATGATTGTTTTTTGCAAATGTATGCATTTGTTACTTGAAATCAATTACCAACAATAAACAACAACAAAGATCGTCCAAAGGTCATCAGAAACCCTTCATCACTTAAGAAAAACTCAAGCCCAACAACAGATCTGCTAAACACATATTACTCAGTCATATAACTAAGTATAGATCAGAGGTCGGCAACCTTTTTAAAGCAAAAAGCCATTTTATCCTAAATGTCTGACCCAAGATTTGCAAAGAGCCCCAGTGGATAGAGAAGAGGGTTTCAGATGTTTTTTTAATGCAATATCGGTATATATGCATTTAACACAAAAACAAAACTTCAAGTACTTACAAAAAATAAAGAAATACAATTTCAGGGGTGGGGGTTCTCAGTTTTAAATCACTTGGATGCGTAACAGCGCAAAAGTGACTAATATCACAATATTGTTCAGTTCTGTAGCGATAGTCTTCACCCTCACCCAAGTTTGTTTGGCTCTGCAGTTGTCTGCCCTTCACTCTCCACTTCACTTCTAGTCATTGTGCTGACCGAGCCGTGCAAAATGTCCTCACCACTCCGATCTCAGCTGACTATAATATGTAAATCGGAGAAAATATAATAATTTTACGAAGATCTGGGAAGGCATGATGACAATTTACTACGAAAAGTATATGAAAAAATTGGGAATCCCAATTAACTTAAAAAGCCTACATCCAATCTCGGACACTGAAGAAAACTCCGGAAAGCATACCATGTGACTGGAGACATACTATCGTAAAGAATAACTTTGAGGAAGATGTAAATTATGCAGTTAAGACAACACAGAAGCGCGCGACAGACCGCCTCATTCACATATAGCTAAAGAAATACCTAAATGAAAAATAATAATATTATCCCATAAATAAATTATTTATATTTACGAAAGTATTATCATAATACGTTAAGACATGAAAATGCGAATGCGTCTATTGTTCTGAGAAGAGTCGCAGCCTGCATGGTAGATGTACTTTGGTGGTGACTCATTTCACATCGACAGTAATTGCAAATAACTTTGGTCTTGTCGATGGACCCATCTGACAGAGTTTTGAAGCTGAACCTGCCATTCAAAATACCTTTTTCTTTGTTCGTTATTTTTCTCAAGGTGCCATTCGGCTCAACACGCATTAATGGCATCAAAAAAAAATTGTCACATTATAATGAATTCCCGTTGACGCGCTATTATCGCGTTAACTTTGACAGCCCTAATTTATATAAATACCAGTTATACCAGATCATATTGCATTGTGTGATTGCATAGTATTATTTATATTATTATATATTATTATATTATTTATATGTATGTATAAACCAATGATAATAGCAATGATAAATGTGGTTATAAATTAGAGTCAGTAGTATTCATGGGGGGGGGGGGGGTATGGTGGCCTCGCTCCTCCAGGTTATTTGATAATAATGACAGATTTTTCACCCCTCTGGCCCCGCCCCCTCCGTGTCCATGCAGAAAATGCAGACCGAGGCACAGGAACAGCAGCCTCTGTTTGACCAGCTGGATGCGGAGCTGCGCGAGGCCACGGTGGTCAGCGAGCACATGTCGCGGGTGCACAGTGAGCACGACGCCGAGCTGGAGCGCTACCGGCAGCAGGCATGCACCCTGCAGGAGCGCTGGCAGGCCGTCTTCGCCCAGATCGACCTGCGGCTGAACGAGCTGGAGCACCTCCACCGCCAGATGCGCTCCTACCGTGGCAGCTACGATGCGCTGATGCTCTGGACCGCTGACGCCAAACGGCGCCAGGAGGCCATTCAGGCCGTACCCATCGGGAATAGCGAGGCACTCCGGGAGCAGCTCTCTCAGGAGCAGGTGAGGCGCCTTCTGTGATCTCTGCTCCTCAATGAATAGAAGGACCAGATGTTGAAGTAGAAGACATTATTCAGCCTGGCTGGCACAGTGGCACAGTGGTTAGCACTGTTGCCTCACACCTCTAGGATCAGGATTTGAGCCTCTACCGGACTTCTGCGTGTCTACATGGAGTTTGAAATGATTAATGTTGTCTTAGGGTTTTGTCCAAGTACACCAGATTCCCCCCACAGTCCCAAAACATGCTGTGGTTAATTGGAGTTGCCAAATTTTCCATAGGTGTGCATGTGTGAGTGAATGGTGAGTGAGTGAATGGTGTGTGAGTGAATGGTGTGTGAGTGAATGGTGAGTGAGTGAATGGTGTGTGAGTGAATGGTGAGTGAGTGAATGGTGTGTGAGTGAATGGTGAGTGAGTGAATGGTGAGTGAGTGAATGGTGAGTGAGTGAATGATGTGTGAGTGAATGAAGTGTGAGTGAATGGTGTGTGAGTGAGTGAATGGTGAGTGAGTGAATGGTGTGTGAGTGAGTGAATGGTGTGTGAGTGAGTGAATGGTGTGTGAGTGAATGGTGTGCGAATGTGCCCTGGGATGGGTTGGTGCCCCATCCTGGGTTATTCCCTGCCTTGCGCCCATAGCTCATTGGTTACAGAAAATGAATGGATGGATATTCTTTACCCATTACTGTTGTTTAAAGTTAAGTGTTCATTGTATCCATGACATCCCACATAGAAACTCTTGGAAGAAATCGAGAAAAACAAAGAAAAGGTGGACGAGTGTCAGAAACATGCCAAGGCCTACATTGATGCTATCAAGGTAACCATGCAGACTGTGGGAAGTCAATGCATTCAATATTTTCACTGTAGAACACTGAGTACCGGAATATAGGCACTTGAGCTTTCACATTTTCATATAATAAAAATGAAATGTGCTGGACCATGTAGTATGACAGAGAAAGCTGTTCGATGATATTTTGAGTTGATTTGAATGCTCAATCCAAAAATCTTGTTGATTCAGGATTATGAGCTTCAGCTGATAGCTTACAAAGCCTTGATTGAGCCCTTGGCTTCTCCCCTGAAGAAAACCAAAATGGAGTCAATTTCAGACAACATCATTCAGGAAGTAAGTGTTGTGTTTCATTGGAATCAGAGGTTAAAAAGGTACCTATTAGGATTTAATACATGTTATGATGATACTCGTTATTTAGATACTTGTGATGTGCTGCAAAGTCTAATTAATGCTTTTATCCTCAGTATGTTACACTGCGGACTCGCTATAGTGAGCTTATGACTCTGACCAGCCAGTACATCAAGTTCATTATTGGCTCACAGCGCCGCCTGGAGGATGAGGAGGTAAGTTACACACACTCCCGGAGGATAGAGTAGCATTAACCTTGTAAAACGAATCACACACCTATGGTTTAATGTAGGGATAGCAATATATATTATCATGCATACATATTACAGAATGTTGGTGGACAGACTGGGAAAAATTATCACTGTATTTATATTAAATAATTAGATGACATATTAAAAATTAGCAATTAAAATAAGGGATTACAAATACAATATTAAATGTATTTTGTTAGAGGTTCTGAACTGACAGAGAATATATTTGCCTAGATATGAGTATTTGATTCTGGTTGATTGAACTGAGTTACAAAGCCTGTCCAAACCCTAATCCCGTCTCATCACGGTTAGCACAGCGCTAACCTGTAGCCAAAGAGACGTTTACCGTTATCCTGGCACCACTCTGCTTTATTCAGTGGTATCTGTCTGCCATTCACTGCATACGTTAGTGTAGAGATGCCAGGCCAGTCCGTATCTGGGCACTGGGCCTTTGCAGATGCACGTGCGGCAGCATCCTTTCAGCCTGAAGCAAACTCACCATCCTGATTTCCCAGTGTCCACACGTTCATTTATGACAGATTATAACTTAGATATAGAATATCTAAGCAGTGGACCATGTTCTTTCCGAGTAACACCATTACCTGCCTGTTTAATGGTGTTCTCTGTGAATTCTCATTAGCTTTCTTTACAGCTCACAGCCTACTATTTGTTTTCTACAAATTGAAAACAACATGTATTATTTGTTTGGCCCACTGACATAGGATTTCAGTGTTACTGCTCACACCGAGTCTGCTTCAGAACTGAGTGTCATGTCTTCCTGAATTACTTTTTCCAGCTGACACTATTTTTTTATTAGTATATTTTCCCCGTTTCTTTTCTAACCGTTTTTTCTGTTTGCTTTCCTAAAATGCTTGCCAGTGCTTTTTCATGATGAATTTTAATCTTGTTTGGGCGCTAAAGAGGTAAATTATCCACAAAACACCAGTTTCTTTTTGAATCAACCTCCTCCATTCCTCATCACCAGGCTTCAATCCCTGCTTTGGGTCCTCAACATGATCTGCTCCGTCACGTAGTATTCCGCAAACGGCCTCATGTATTTGGCACAGCATCTCATGAGGCTATGTGGTTTGTCTGTCAGGTTCAGACATTGTTGTTACATGCATTATTGTATCCAGTCTGGTTGTCTATTTTCAAACCAGGAAAACATATATTTGAAAAAAATGTGGTGACCAGATACTCCATGTCAGGGAGGAGACTTTGAGCTACTTCAGGTTTTACAAAACTTACTTAAAAACTAAAAGGCTCCTCTGTTTGGCTAAATAGTTCAGCTCTTCTTGTGCTTTGACTGGTTTGTTTCCTTGATTGAAAGACTCATTCAGCTGGTTCACATTAATGTTAGTGACACTTGCATGATTACAGGAGACTGACCAACCAGCACACAGCAAGAACGTAAATAAAATCCAGGTGCTTTTATTTGAAATGGTAGTTTACAAATTCTGTCCTAGCTCAAAGTGTCCTCCCTGACATTGAGTACCTGGTCACCCTAATATAAACATAAACCATAGATGTATACTGTAAATGTCATTAGGGTGAATATTTGACAATAAAATCCAAGTTTACACTATCTTGGTGAGCCAATACTAATAAATAGCTACCACCTTTGGTTCATACTAAGGACACATGGCTATGGGATTGTGAAGCTGGGTCGTCCTCCACCACGTGTTATTTTCTTTGCTGCATCACTCAGCTGTGTCTTCTAAGGCAGAGGATTGGGGGTTGGCTAGGTGATCGCGTCTTAGCTCAGAACCTCAAATTCCTCTCATTCAATTCAGCATTTTCTTTAAAAACAAAGAATAAAGAAAAACTAAATTTTAACACTTTATAATGTATTCTAATTTGACATTTTTGTCTTTAAAATCATTGCCATAGACTTTTTATTAGTGTATTTTCATATATGCCATTTATCCTCGACAACAGCTCACACTGAGGGCAGTACCTTAGAGGAAATTTTTCTCAGAAAAGTAAAACGGACTTCACATTGTAAACCCTAATGTGTTGTGGAACGTGTTGTGTAATAAGTAATGTTTCATTCTGTTTTCCATGCATTAACTGAATGTCACATGGCATCTTTGATAATATTCCAGTGCAGGATAGCTTATATTTTACGTTGCCTGTAGCTACATGTTACCTGTAATTTATTGAGCTTATAATTAACCCATTTTATTAACATTTTTATTTGCTGTTTGCTTCTGCTAATACAGAAAGCTACCGAGAAACTTAAAGAGGAAGAGAGGAGGAAACTCGCAAAGATGCAAGCTGAGTTAGAGAAACAGAAGCAGTTAGCGGAGGCTCACGCAGAAGCTATTGCTAAAGCAGAACGAGAAGCTGAAGAGCTGAAGCTCAAAATGAAAGAAGAGGTCACCAAAAGGGAAATGGTGGCCGTGGATGCAGAGAAGCAAAAGCACAACATCCAGCAGGAGCTGCATGAGCTCAAAAACCTCTCGGAGCAGCAGATAAAATCTAAGAGCCACCAGGTGGAGGAGGCCCTGCAGAGCCGAACCAAGGTTGAGGAGGAGATTCACCTAATCAGGATCCAGCTAGAGACAACGACGAAGCAGAAATCCATGGCCGAGGCAGAACTCAGTGAGCTAAGGGAGCGGGCAACTGAAGCTGAGCGCCTGAGGAAGACCACTCAGGAGGAGGCAGAAAAGTTGCGCAAGCAGGTCAATGAGGAGTCCCAGATGAAGCGTAAAGCGGAAGAGGAGCTGAAGCGCAAAGCGGAAGCTGAGAAGGAAGCTGCCAAACAGAAGCAGAAAGCCCTGGAGGACCTGGAGAGGTTCAAGCTGCAGGCTGAAGAAGCAGAGAGGAGGATGAAGCAGGCCGAAGTAGAAAAGGAGAGACAAATCCAAGTGGCCCAGGATGTAGCTCAAAAAAGCGCAGCCACAGTATTAGAGAGCAAACGTATATCCCTGGCAGAGAAGACAACAGAACTGGAAGAGTCACTGAAACAGCAGCACAGCACTGTTTTGCAGCTGCAAGAAGAAGCCGAGCAGCTTAAGAAACAGCAGGCAGGTGCAGACAAAGCCAGAGAAATGGCAGAGAAGGAGCTGGAAAAGTGGAGGCAGAAGGCTAATGAAGCTCTACGACTGAGACTCCAAGCTGAGGAGGAAGCCCTCAAAAAGAGCCAAGCTCAGGAGGAAGCCGAGAGACAGAAAGAGGATGCAGAGCGGGAGGCAAAAAGGAGGGCCAAAGCTGAAGAATTTGCCCTGAAGCAGAAGGAGATGGCAGAACAAGAGCTGGAGAAGCAAAGGAAAATAGCAGAAGAAACAGCCCAGCAGAAGCTTTCTGCAGAGCAGGAGCTAATCCGTCTTAAGGCTGACTATGAGCATGCCGAGCAGCAGAGGTCGCTTCTAGATGATGAGCTCAGCCGCCTGAAAAATGAGGTTAATGCAGCTGTGCAACAGAGGAAACAGCTAGAAGACGAATTGGCAAAAGTGCGATGTGAAATGGACAGTCTTCTTGAGCATAAAGCCAAAGCAGAGCAGGAGACCTTGTCTAACACTGAAAAGAGCAAGCAACTTATTGAGACTGAGGCAGCAAAAATGAAGAAGCTTGCAGAGGAAGCTTCAAAGCTTCGATCAATCGCAGAAGAAGCAAAGAAGCAGAGGCAAGTGGCTGAGGAAGAAGCAGCGAGGCAGAGATCAGAAGCTGAGAGGATCCTCAAAGAAAAGTTGGCTGCTATTAATGAGGCAACTCGGTTGAAAACTGAAGCTGAGATTGCTCTCAAGGAGAAGGAGTCTGAAAATGAAAGGCTCAGAAGACAGGCTGAAGATGAAGCGTACCAGAGAAAGATGCTGGAAGACCAAGCAGCACAACATAAGAAAGACATCGAGGACCAAGTTTCCCAACTCAAAAAATCCTCAGATACTGAAATAGAAAGGCAGAGGGTAATTGTAGAAGAAACCTTGAACCAGAAGAGAATAGTTGAGGAGGAAATACACATTCTCAAGATCAACTTTGAAAAGGCTTCAGCTGGCAAGACGGACCTTGAGCAGGAGTTGAACAAACTGAAAAGCATTGCAGAAGAAAGTCAGCGGAGTAAACTACAGGCAGAAGAAGAAGCAGAGAAGCTTCGCAAGCTAGCCCTGGAGGAGGAAAAACTGAGAAAGGAGGCAGAGGAAAAGGTAAAAAAGATTGCTGCTGCAGAAGAAGAGGCTGCTAACCAGCGGAAGGCTGCACAGATGGAAGTTGAACGCCTCAAGAAGAAAGCTTCTGAAGCTAACAAACAGAAAGAGAATGCTGACAAGGAGGCAGAGAAACAGATTGCTCTCGCCAAAGAAGCTGCAGAAAAATGCTTTGCTGCAGAACAGAAAGTACAGGATGTGCTTGTGCAGCAAAAAGAAGATAAACTCATTCAGGAGAAGCTGAAGGAAGAGTTTGAGAAAGCCAGGAAGCTGGCAGAAGAGGCAGAGAAGGCCAAAGAGAAGGCGGAAAAAGAGGCTGCCCTACTTCGGCAAAAAGCAGAGGATGCAGAATGCCAGAAGCAAGCTGCCGAGGAGGAAGCTGTCAATAAAGCCAAAGCTCAGGAAGGTGCGGAAAAGATGAGAAAGGAGGCAGAAACGGAGGCTTCAAAGAGAGCAGAGGCTGAAGCTGCAGCTCTGCAGCAGAAGCAGCAAGCTGATGCTGAGATGGCAAAGCACAAAAAGCTTGCTGAAAAGATACTGAAGCAGAAGGGTAAAGTTGAAGAGGAATTATCAAGGGTGAAGATACAGCTGGACGAGACAGATAAACAGAAAACTCTTCTGGATGAGGAGCTAAAGCGCCTCAAGGATGAAGTGAGTGATGCAATCAAGCAGAAGGCCCAAGTAGAGCATGAGCTTCAGAATGTCAAGCTGCAGATGGAACAACTCTTCCAAAAAAAGCTTGAGATTGAAGAACAGAACAAGCAGCTAATTAAAAAAGACAAGGACAGCACTCAGAAGTTTTTGGAGGAGGAAGCAGAGAAGATGAAGAATCTGGCTGAAGAAGCAGCCCGTCTCAGCTTAGAGGCTGAGGAGGCTGCTCAAATGAGGCTGCTTGCAGAGTCTGACCTTACACAAGAGAGAGCACTTGCTGATAAAATGCTCAAGGAGAAAATGCAAGCTATCCAGGAGGCAACTAAACTGAGAGAAGAGGCAGATATGCTCCAAAAGCAGAAGGATCTGGCTCAGGAGCAAGCTAAGAAGCTGCTTGAGGACAAGCAGCAGATGCAGCAGCGCCTGGAAGAAGAGACGGAAGGTTTTCAGAAGTCCTTGGAAGTAGAGCGTCTGAGACAGCAGGAGATCATTGCTGAGGCAGAGAAATTGAAGCTGAGAGTGTCTCAGCTTAGTGACGCCCAGTCTAAAGCTGAAGAGGAGGCCAGGAAGTTTAAGGAACAAGCTGATAGCATCAGCGCTCGTCTCCATGAAACAGAGAGTGCAACAGCTGAAAAACTCACAGATATGCAGAAATTGGAGGTTCAGAGGTTACAGAGCAATAAAGAGGCAGACGACCTTCGCAAAGCAATTGCTGATCTTGAAAAAGAGAAGGAGAAATTAAAAAAGGAGGCAGCAGAATTACAAAATAAGTCAAAAGAGGTATTATGTCAGAATGTTATCATTGAAATCTACATTGAATTAATAAAATGTAACCCTCTGAGGGAGCTAACTTATTAGGCATACATTTATGTATTTATTTGAATTACACTGCTAATATTATATAGGCACCAGTTTCTACATTAATAATAACCACACAATGTATATACATATTTAAATATATTCTAAATACATAAACATGCCTATTGCACTGAAAATGTAATTTTCATGTTAATTTTTATGTAAATATTAAATGTAAATATGTGACAGCTTCATGTAAATTATAAAATGCTGGTCATTTTATGTGAGTGACATCTTTATAATTGGGTCTAAATTGTCTTATTTTCTTGTCTTTTTACAATAGATGGCTAATGCTCAACAGGAACAAATTAAGCAGGAAAAGACAATTCTTCAACAGACTTTCATAACAGAAAAGGAAATGCTGCTTGAAAAAGAGAAACTCATTGAGGATGAGAGGAAGAAGCTGGAGAAACAGTTTGAGGATGAGGTTAAAAAGGCCAGCGCTCTGAAAGATGAACAAGAGCGCCAAAGGAAGCAAATGGAGGAAGAGAGGAAACAGCTGCAGGCCACCATGGACGCTGCACTAAAGAAGCAAAGAGATGCAGAGGAGGAGATGCGCAACAAGCAGAAAGAGATGCAGGAACTTGAAAAGAAAATGCAGGAGCAGGAGAAACTTCTAGCGGAGGAGAACAAAAAGTTGCGTGAGAAATTGCAGGAGCTGCAGGTCGTTGAAAAAACATCAGCATCTAATACAAAAGAAATTGAGATTCAAACTGATGTGGTTCCTGATGAACAGTTGACTGCAAAAGCACAGATAGAAACAAAGAAGGTCTTCAATGGTTCTGGGGAAGTTCCAGGCCATCCGATGAGGAATGAAGAGCCACATTTGGCATTTCAGGGTATTCGGGAGAAAGTCCCTGCAAGTCGGCTATATGAAATTGGACTGCTGTCCAAAAAAGAGTATGACAGGTTGAAGAAAGGCAAAACAACTGTGCAAGACCTCAGCAAAACTGACAAACTGAGAGTTTGTCTGAAAGGAGAACACAGCATTGGCGGTGTCTTAATTCAGCCTAACCAAAAACTGAGCATCTACCAGGCCATGAAGGAGAACAAGATGGCACCTGGTACAGCTTTGTTGCTTCTTGAAGCTCAGGCGGCCACTGGATACATGATAGATCCAATAAAAAACCAGAAGTTTTCTGTTAATGAGTCTGTAAAAGAGGGTTTAATTGGTCCTGAACTGCATAATAAAATGTTATCTGCAGAAAGGGCAGCCACAGGTTACAAAGATCCTTACACTGGCTCTAAAATATCACTTTTTGAAGCAATGCAAAAAGATTTAATTGCACAAGATCAAGGTATCAGACTTCTTGAAGCTCAAGTAGCTACAGGTGGAATTATAGATCCAGTCAATAGTCACAGAGTGTCTGTGGAGACAGCTTATAAGCAAGGTCAGTTTGATGCAGAGATGAACAAAATTCTGTCAGATCCTACTGATGACACAAAGGGCTTCTTCGATCCAAACACTCAAGAGAACCTCACATACTTGCAGCTAATGCAAAGGTGCACATCAGATCCTGAAACTGGCTTGCTCTTCCTACCCATTACAGAAAAGGCAGCAAAAAATGAAAGAACTTACACCGACGAAGAAACCAAGGATGTATTCAGCAAAGCCACAGTCTCTGTTCCATTTGGAAGGTTCAAGGGGAAGACAGTGACCATCTGGGAAATCATCAACTCTGAATACTTTACAGAGGAGCAAAGAAGGGACCTAATTCGGCAATACAAGACTGGAAAAATAACAGTGGAAAAAATTATTAAAATTGTTATCACAGTAGTTGAGAACAAAGAGAAAAAGAATGAAATTGCCTTTGAAGGTCTTAGAACTCCTGTTCCTATCTCTGAACTTCTGGACTCTAAACTTATCAGCAAAGATTTATACAACAAGCTGCACAATGGTGAAACATCTGTTAAAGAAGTCTCTGAGCTTGAACATATTAAAAAAGCATTAAAAGGCACAACCTCTATTGCTGGAATAATTATTGAATCAACTAATGAGAAAATTCCAATCTATCAGGCCTTGAAGAAAGGCATCTTGGGGTTTGGGCCTGCATTAAATCTGCTGGAAGCTCAAGCTGGATCTGGATTTATGATAGACCCAATCTCAAATCAGAAATTCACTGTTGATGAGGCTGTTAAATCAGGTCTTGTTGGTCCTGAGTTGCATGAAAAGCTGCTGTCTGCTGAGAGAGCTGTTACTGGGTTCAAAGACCCTTATACTGGAAAGACTGTGTCCTTGTTTGAGGCGATGAAAAAGGACCTTATAAACAAAGACCAGGGTGTACGTCTGCTTGAGGCACAATTAGCTACTGGTGGAATTATTGATCCAGTCAAGGGTTATCACATCCCCCTTGACGTGGCTTTTAAACGTGGCTGTTTTGATGATGAAATGAACAAGTATTTGAGCACACCGACTGATGAGACTAAAGTTTTCTATGATCCTAACAAACAGGCAAATGTCACTTACTTAGAGCTTCAAAACTCATGCATTACAGATAACCAGACTGGTTTTCTTTTGCTACCACTGTCAGAAGCAGCCATGAAGTTAAAAGAAGAACATGCTTATTCTGAAGTGCAGACACAAGACGCTTTGAATCAGACATTAGTGGAGCTACAGTCTGGACCCTTCAAAGGAAGAAAGGTAACCATCTGGGAGATCATAAACTCAGAATATATAACAGAAGAGCAGAGGCTTGAGCTCATCAGGCAATACAGAGCTGGTAAAGTGACTATCGAAAAAATAATTAAGATTGTCATTACTATTATTGATGAAAGAGAAACTAAGAAAGAATCAGAGGCTTTGTTTGATGGCCTAAGGTCACCTGTCTCTGCCATCTCTTTATTAGAGTCCAAAATTATTGATAAAGACACTTTTGACCAGCTGCAAGATGGTAAAATGGACCCCAAAGAAGTTGATGCTGTAAAGAAGTATTTGAAGGACACTGATAGCATTGCTGGTGTGTATGTTGAGCCTTCAAAAGAAAAAGTCAGCATTTACCAAGCCATGAAGAAAAACCAACTAAAACAAAGCATAGGCCTTGCACTCTTGGAGGCTCAAGCAGCTACTGGATTCATTATTGATCCGATCAAAAATCAGAAACTAACCGTTGATGATGCTGTTAAGTCCGCGGTTGTTGGTCCTGAGCTTCATGAAAAGCTTTTGTCAGCTGAAAAGGCAGTAACTGGTTATAAAGACCCATACACAGGTAACAAAATCTCCCTATTCCAAGCAATGCAGAAGGATCTTGTTCTGAAAGAATATGCCATTCCACTCTTAGAAGCTCAGATAGCCACAGGAGGAATAATTGACCCTATTAACAGCCACCGTGTGCCCATTGATGTTGCATGTCAGCATGGCTTCATAAGCAAAAAACTGGCCAAAAGTCTCTCTCAACCATCTGGTGACACTAGAGCTTTCATTGATCCCAACACTAATGAGAATGCCACTTACCAACAGTTGAAAGAAAAGACAGTAAGGGATCCTGAAACTGGCATGTGCTTTTTATCTCTTTCAATGGCTGAGATTTCCACTGCTGCAAAAAAGACACACCAGTTTAGCAAAGAACAAGCCCAGAAGGATTTAGCGAACACTCTTGTTGACATACCACATAGTGGAAAGTCAATGTCCCTTTGGGAAGTCATGAATTCAGATCTGGTTCCTGAACAGGAAAGGTCCAGGATACTCGAAGAATACCGCTCAGGGAAAATTACAAAAGAAAGAATGACCATCATAATTATTGAAATAATTGAACAAAGAATAATTACAAGAAGTGAGGCAAATATGTCATGTGACGTTATTAGGAGAAGAATTACCATCGAAGAACTGTACAGTGCTCGCATCATTGACTCAGACACATACATTATGCTGAAAGAGGGAAAGATGACTATCCGTGAGATCATGGAAATGCAAACAGTAAAACGGTACTTATTTGGCACAGGTTGTATTGCTGGTGTTGCATGTGATTCCTCTGCTAAGATCAGCATTTACCAAGCCATGAAAAGGGGCTTAATGAAACCTGATATTGCTATTGGGCTTCTGGAAGCCCAAGCTGCAACGGGATTCATCATTGATCCAGTGAAAGATGAGATGCTAACGGTTGATGAGGCCGTCCGTAAGGGAGTTGTGGGCCCAGAGATACATGATAAACTTCTTTCAGCCGAGAGAGCTGTCACTGGCTACCGGGATCCTTACAGTGGGAAAATAATTTCACTGTTCCAGGCCATGAAAAAAGACCTTATTCCAGAGGAGTATGCTCTCAGACTTCTGGAGGCTCAGGCTGCAACTGGTGGTCTTATGGATCCTGAGTATAACTTTCACCTACCAACTGACATTGCATTGCAGCGTGGATACATCAACAAGGAAACAAATGAAAGGATTTCTGATCCCAATGGTGATGTAAAAGGATACATCGATCCACTCACTGAAGAGAGTGTGTCCTATGCACAACTGCTTAAGAAATGTAAAGTGCATAGAGATAGTGGTCTGCATTTGCTGTCGTTAGCAGACAGAAAATTGTTGTTCAAGGGCCTGAGAAAGCAAATCACATTGGATGAGCTATTACTTTCTCAAATCATAGACCAGGAGACTGTCAGTCAACTCAATGAAGGTGCTATCACTGTAGAAGAAGTTACCAAACGACTCCAGAAGTATCTTGAGGGTACAAGTTGTATTGCTGGGGTATTTGTAGAGTCCAGTAAAGAGTGTCTCTCAATTTACCAAGCCATGAAGAAGAACATGATCAGACCAGGGACTGCTTTTGAATTGCTTGAGGCTCAAGCTGCGACAGGATATGTAATTGATCCAATAAAGAACCAGAAGCTGACAGTAAATGATGCTGTTAAATTAGGAATTGTGGGGCCTGAGTTCAAAGACAAGCTCCTTTCGGCTGAACGTGCTGTAACTGGCTACAAAGATCCATATTCAGGCAAAACCATTTCACTGTTCCAAGCCATGAAAAAGAATCTCATTTTGAAAGACCATGGTGTTCGTTTGCTGGAAGCCCAGATTGCCACAGGGGGAATCATTGACCCAGAGGAAAGTCATCGGTTGCCTGTAGAAATGGCCTACAAAAGAGGCCTCTTTGATGAGGAGATGAATAGCATTCTTACAGACCCATCAGATGACACTAAAGGTTTTTTCGATCCAAACACAGAGGAGAATTTGACTTATCTGCAGTTGATGGAGAGGTGTATGACAGACCCAGAAACTGGCCTTGCTCTACTGCCTCTGAAGGAGAAGAAGCGTGAAAGAAAAACTTCTTCCAAGTCCTCTGTCCGCAAACGCAGAGTAGTTATTGTAGATCCAGAGACAGGCAAAGAAATGTCAGTGTATGAGGCATATCGCAAAGGGCTCATTGACCATCAAACCTACATGGAATTAGCAGAGCAAGAATGTGAATGGGAAGAAATTACTATCTCATCCTCTGATGGTGTTGTAAAATCTATGATTATTGACCGTCGGTCTGGACGGCAGTATGACATAGATGATGCAATTTCACGAGGCCTTATTGATCAGTCGTCACTGGATCAGTACCGGACTGGGGCTTTATCGATCACAGAATTTGCTGACATGTTATCTGGAAACGTAAGTGGCTCCCGTTCCCGCTCCTCATCTTTTGGATCAACTTCATCTTACTCCATGAGCCCTGTCCCGCCTGTCAGATCTCCTGCACCTACTTGGAATGACCCTACTGAAGAATCTGGGCCTGTTGCTGGAATCTTGGATACAGAGACTTTGGAAAAGGTTTCTGTCACTGAGGCTATGCATCGAAACCTTGTGGACAACATCACTGGTCAAAGGCTGCTTGAAGCCCAGGCTTGCACAGGTGGCATCATTGACCCCAACACTGGGCAGAAGTTCTCAGTCATTGATGCTGTGAACAAAGGACTTGTTGACAAAATTATGGTTGACCGTATCAACCTAGCCCAAAAAGCCTTCAATGGTTTTGAAGATCCCAGAACCAAAACAAAAATGTCTGCTGCTCAAGCTTTGAAGAAGGGCTGGCTTTACTATGAAGCAGGTCAGCGATTCTTGGAAGTACAGTACCTTACTGGTGGATTGATTGAGCCAGATGTAACTGGCAGAGTCTCATTGGATGATGCTATTAAGAAGGGTACCCTGGACCCACGTACCGCACAGAAACTAAGAGATGTCAGTGCTTACTCCAAATATCTGACCTGTCCCAAAACAAAATTGAAAATATCCTACAAAGATGCAGTGGATCGAAGCATGATTGAGGAAGGTACTGGCCTGCGTCTGCTTGAGGCCTCCTCCCAGTCAAGCAAAGGCTTATATAGTCCATACAGCATTAGTGCTTCAGGCTCAGCTTCTGGCTCCCGCTCAGGATCCAGGACTGGTTCCAGGTCAGGCTCTAGGCGAGGTAGTTTTGATGCAACGGGTTCTGGTTTCTCAATGAATTTCTCTTCCCCTTATAGCTCCACTAGCTATGGTCGCCGATATGATTGTGGGCCTCACAGTGGGCTAAACCTGGATGATCTAACAAATGCCATTTTGTTACTTGCACTGAATAGGAATTGCAGCTCAGAGCAACAAGGAACACTGATTCCAGTATTACCGATGCACTCATCAGTTGCATAATTTTTTAGGCAAATACATATATATTCTGCTCTGCATATTGTTATATTGGGAAATTGCAGTGTTGAGTAAATATTATATCATTCTTGGCTTTAATATGACATAGTCCCTGGTTCATTTTGTACAAATATTCAAAGTTTAAAGCCTTCTCATTTTGCTTTCTTATTTTTGCATTGTGGGATAAATTTGAATAATTCTTTTTAGATACAATTTTATCTATTATGTAAGCACATTCAGTGAAACCACCATACTGCTTATTGCATTTCATTTTTGTTTTGTCATTTTATTTCTTAATGCAGCTAACTTTGGTTGGGTGTTAAACACTGGTTAATAATACTATTTTATAAATTGTAGTAATTGTACTGAGTTTATTGTCTGCATTTCATTATTTTATTTGTATTTGAATATCTTGTCTTCTGTTTTTGAGTTATGTAATGGAAGTAGTCTATATACTTAACCAAGTTAGATGCAGGAGCAGTAGTGTGATACAGATCCATAATATATTGCTTTATGTTTCTGAATTTGTACATCTGATCTTTTTGCTTTATTCAGTAAAGTTATGGTAGAGAAAAGCTAACAAAAAAAGTTCAGACTTAAAGCTTAACACTGTTGGGAAAATGCTGCAAGATGCAGCCTCCTGAAGGCTTTCCCTGACATGCAACACTGCCATGAGTACTTAGAGTTTCCCTTTTTTGTGCCTGTTTGAACTGTATTATCACCCTTTAAATCAACACTTAATTCGCCACTTTATATATATATATATATATATATATATATATATATATACACTGTATGAGAGAGAGAGAGAGAGAGAGAGAATCCAGCATTTTCTGGAAGCAGTTTTCACACCTCTTCACTACAGCTTATACAGTAAGAACAGCAGGAATTCTCTGAACTCAAGTGTGGAGGTTGGAGTACTTTGTTCTTCTTCCAGTTGGTGTCCAAAATGTACAGTGCAGCTGGATCAACTACACACTAATTAGCTCGAATGTAATGTGCTTACCCCTATCCAGCTAGAGGTGATTCATAAATAAATACCCAAAAATTTATTTGAGGCTTAACATTTATCTGGTTATCTCTTTCAGCTCATGTGTCTTACTGCTTGGGGCCCATAAATATATATGTTTTACCTATTTGTAAAAAAAATACAGAATAAAAACTCTTTAGTAATAATAAATGTGCATGCAATTCATTTATTGATAAGATAATTAAGGTCCCTGTGTCACTTTTTTCTCTTGAGTCCCTATAGATTTTCTTCTGCTGAAAAACACTGATGAATAACACTGCTGAATAACACTGCTGAATAACACTGCTGAATAACACTGCTGAATAGTGGGCCATTGGAATGGAATATGACTTTGCCATAGCTGACATGTTTCCTTGGTGGTTTACACTAAAGCCTGACAACAGTTAACCTTTTTTTTAATAGAGTTTTGCAAGTATTCAACCATCTGTTTACTTGCTTGATATTTATACTATTGGGTTAAGTAACAACTCTGTAAATGGAAACATTGTTTACACATATTTAGAGGCTTAACATATTTGGCCATGAACGAACATAGTATTTGACATGCATGAAACGTTTCGGTTACAGAGGGAGTGTGATGTTGCGATGCCTGATAAAGAACCGCCACAAAACATACCAGTCATATTTTACTGGGCTTATTATCCAGCTTGTGATGTTCGTGTTATGAGTAGATATCCCCTCTGCATTGTGGCTGTCTCACATCTCAGTCTACTCCACAGACCTGACATATCAAATCACCTCTAGTCAAGGTCCCTTGTTCAACCGCCATTACTCGGTTTACTGCTATTGTTATTTTATGATTTGCTTCTAGAAATACCAGTTCTTTGGTCACCCAGCAAAATCATTTTATCAAGGGGGTTAGTGGGTAATGTAATGGCTGAAGACTGTAACAAACATGACCAGATGTTTGCTCCAGTTGTTTTTGCCCAGAAGTGCCAAGAACAGCCCTGCTGTGCTGTCTTTGGTCGAGATACTCCACCTAAAATGTGATTTGGTTCCACCTTATTCAGCTCCATAGAAGGGTATAGTGTTAATAAACTTTTGAAGGCATCTGTTAAATCTTTTAGCATCAAGATCTGTCTTGTTTTAAACATGGTTGGTGTGCATTTTTAACAACTTTTTTTTCTAAAAATAAATAAATAAACATCCAGCTAACCCAGTGACTAAAATGGAAATGTAGGCTTTTATTTTGCAAACGTAGTTCACCTACTTGAATATTACAGTCCAAAAAGGTCTTATAGCTTTGCCATTTTGCCCAGTGTTAGCCAGTCTTTATTTTCTCAATGTCTTTTTTTCTCTTAATTTTCTCTTTTTATTTGAACTTGACTTTTGTAAATCATCATGTTCTATTTAAATTGTCATAATATTTTGATAAAATATTAAATATATATTTTTGCTTGGCATGTTTTACTAATATGGTCATATTTTTAAACTGGATGCAAGAGGAAACTTTTCAATATTATCCTTTCAACAAAGCGATTTCTGCTTTACCTAGTTAAATGTATTTAGGGCAATAAATGTAATCAAAATTGCAGGTGTATCTACTCATCAAGAGATATGACAAAGCATGTTCAAAAATATTGTGTATTTTTGATTATGATAATAATGTAAATAAACTAAGGTGCTTTAAAGATTAAACATATATTTGTCATGTTGTGATTAACACAAATATATAAGATATTGATATTTACATCTTCAACAATCTCTGTGTTGCTTATCCATTAACAAAATGTTAATTTCTCTCTGTGAGGTAAATGTTGCTTTATATTTAAATGCACTTAAAAGGCAGGTGTAGTTGTATTACAAGCCTTATATGAACCAGTGACGTGTTTGTATCTAAACAGCAAACATCTGGCTACATCTCCATAAAATGAACATAAAATACCACATCTGATGGGCACTAAAGAGAAGTACCAGCATGGCCCATTAGAGGTCACTAGAGTAGCCTTAAATTTAATTGAATGTTTTTGGTGGCTTATGGTGGCTGACCTGTTAGCACTGTAGCATCACACCTCCATGTTTGGGCATTTGATTCCCAGCTTCTTTGCATATTCTCCACTTACCTCCCATGGTCCAATAACATGCACCTAGGGGACTCCAGACTGTGCTCTGCAATGGACTGGCATCATGTCCTGGGGGGTGTCTTCTGCTTTACCCTATGATTTCTGGGATAAGCTCTAGGTTCACCATGACCCTGTACTGGAATAGGAGTGAGATTTTTGACCGTCACTATGTAACCAAATCTAGGTGGAAAGCATAAATACACCACATATGTATTTACACCCACAAAAATAGATGGGTTCATTTTGCTTATTCTTTTAGCTCTGCTACTATTTCTATGTGCTTCACACTTCCAGCTTTGTCACATGAATGTGTCTGTGTGGATTTCTTCCAGATTCTGTGCTTTCGTCTCACAGCCCAAAAACAGGCTGTGTAAATAAAGTGATGGGTCTAAAATTATGGGAAGCATTTTGCGCAAAGAATAACATGAAAATCATAAAATTGCCTTTTAGTTTAAGTCTATCTGAAAATTCCTGCCAAAATGAAAGTTAAAATGAAATGGCACCATTTGCATTTCCACTCGTGTGTCACATGTGAAAAATAAAAAACCTTTTTGTCTTTTCATTTTCTGGGCCAGGCTAATTTCAGTGTTTCCTTACAATGGCAAACCTGCATAAATATGCATGGTACAGCTTCAAAATTCTATTCATATTTTTTATGTCGTATTTTCAGAATGTCCTAACTATAAACTGTGCACCATGTGCCACTGTGAACATTCCCCGCTAAGGAAGCTGGGAATAATTTAAGCCATGGAAAAAGACACTGAATAAGAATCTAAATGAGAATCAGAAGCTACAAATAAGTACCTTAGACCGTGTGAGACTTTGCCATTAATTTGGGTGATATGGGCGACCATACGCAAGGAACAGAAGGATGATGGAATCCACAAACAGACTGAGAAAGCGCAGCAGTGATCCATAGCCCCGCCCACTGCCTGCTCCAATTAACATATATTTGCATGTTGTGAACTGAAAAAGTAAAGCAGGAAATGAAAACACAAAAAAGGTTTTTTAATTTAATTTTGTAATTTTTCACATATGACTTAAAACGCATGAATGGAAAATTTAAATGCAAAATGGTCCTATTTCATTTAAATTACATTGGTATACAGTGATTTTGTGCCAACGATGTCTGAACAGTTTTATATTAAGTTTATGGTGCCGATTAAAAATATGACTTCGGTTTTGCCAGATTGGCTCTAGTTTCTGAGATATTTAATAGCTAATTAATTAACACAACACGTTTCAAAAGCATTCAGAATTGCAAGAATATTTTAATTTTAGTTGCAACTAGTAAGTACTGTAAACAGTCTAACATCTTACAGAAAAGAAATAAAAAAATATCTAACAGTGACAGGAAAAAGTTATGTATGATTTGATTAAATAATACAATATTTATTACTTATTAATTGTTGTCAGTGGCTCAAAAATTTGCCAGCTGTCGAACGAGCATTGGAAGTCCCTTTCTGCTGGCCAAACTACATTTGGCCAAACTACAGACAGGTGTTCCCATGATGCCCTTCCTTTGGAAGGACTTGGCAGATTTGATCTGGGTAAATACTCACCACCACAGTAACAACAGCAATAAATGAACATGCAAACACGCACATGTGAACTTTACTCTAATTTTATTTTCAGACACCTTCAAAGCTTCATCATTCATTTCATTACCTATGACCAAAAGCTATTGCATTTGCACACACAAGTCGCATTGGGGGAATGCATTATTTTCATGGATGTCCATTATCTCAAAAACTCGAACCAATTCAGCAAAAGTAATGCGATTTTTGAATTCAACACCCTCAAAATACCCTACCTGTAAGTCCATTCAAAAAACCTTGGCACCTGAAAAAAAAAATTGTAGACTGTTATCCTTTCGGCAGGATTTTTGCCCATAGACTTTGAAAATTAAATGGCAAAGTGGAGATTGTATTTTCATTTTATTTGACTCTACTCTTATCTTATAAATTCACTGTTAATGATTTACCTAAAAGAGGTTTGATGTATCTTTTGGTTGTAGATGTAGTTACATACCAGGAGAAAATAAACAATCTGAGGAGTCTGATAACTACAAAAGTTGTTATAATGGATAATCTTCTGAGTTGAAGAAGTTACATGTACTTTGTTAAACATCACAAATTCCAGTGAAGATGTAGATCTGTCTAGATTGGTAAATAAAGTTTCTTATGCAAAACCAAAAAACATGAGGAACACGGTGAGTGCCTTGAGAATGCATTCATGCTATCAACAATACTGCATACCAAAGGTATTAGATGACCAAACCAGGTGAGGCACAAAAGGCTGGTCTGAACAAGCCCAGAACAATAAAATATTATTTACCAGCAGTTTATGTATATAGTGAATCCAAAACATGCAATATGAATCAAGCAGATTCATCAAACTCACCCAGAAATACTGAGGCGCCTCATAATAAATGCAGAGCATTGAATTCCTTGAACAGAGCTTTGAGGTAAGTATAGGATTTTGGCTAGCAATGCTCAAAAGTTGGCATGGATAATTTTTTGTGAAATGTGTAGTAAATGTCGGCCAGTTTTTGGCAGGTCTGGCTGAAGTTCATATTTCCCATCTCATCTCTAAACATCTATCTATCTATCTATGTACAGTATCTATCTATCTATCCATCTATATATATATATATATATATATATATATA